AATAGTTTATGTGCCAAAAATATGATTTTTGAATTCCTCAATTCCAATGAAAAAAATTACACGACTAATAAAAGTCCAAGCAACTGTAGAGTCAAAATTCAACGATATCTATTGATAAAAAGTCGCATATAGTATGGAATTTGATGGTATCAAGGTATAAACAATTTAAATGCCAACTTTTTATAAAACAATGAACAAAAGAGTCAATAACTCATTTTGTTTTACTGTAGATGGTTTCTAATACTTAACGCCGACGATATAAGTATTAGTTTTAGTTGTTTTACGACAGTGTATGTTTCTATATACATGTATATATGTGTGTATATGTGTATGTATATGTATATATATGTGTGTGTGGGTATATTTATATGAATTTTTCAAGAACACGAGTGTGAATATGTTCCTATTTGACTTGCTACAAATATTTCATGTATATAACGTAGCCAATAAATATCTATCTATCTATCTATCTATAAGTTTCTACATAAGGTAAAAAGTAAAATATCAATAACAATGCAATTTTTCAACCACGATTTGAATTTCTGCATTATAAGTTCTATTTTGAGATAAACATAAAAAAAAATATTCAATAACTGCAGTAAAGGAGCGAAATCAGCACTCGAATTCCGTGAGTTTAACATCCACTCCAGGATTTCTCAATTCTTTCCAACACAAAAAAAATTGTATTGGCTAAAGAATCACATTTATCTCCTGTGAGCATCATAATGCAATCAAAATTCGTTTTACTGTTCTAGCAATGTAAACATATGCGTATTTTTGAAGCCATAAACTGTTGCTACGCAGGGTTACATGAGAGCAGATATAATTAAATTCAACTGTATGACCCTGGCCCTGGAAAGAACAATTTATTTTTGGTCCGACCCAGCTATTCCTCAACAAATTTTGCCCGTACTAATACGCCCACTGTCTACACAAAAACAATCACGAGACTGCATTCGCCGAATAGCCTCTGACAAAACATGTCCAAGTACCTATAACAAATCATCAGGGAAGGGCTGACGATGATTGATCAATGAATGTTCCACTTTTTCCGGAATGAAGTAGAAGAAAACTCAAACTTTAACTACTGTCAATTTTTCACTAATCAACTGAAAGCGTTAAAACCTGCGGTACATTAAGAAATAGGTACTCCAATAGCTGAATGAAATCAAAGAATTTTGTGAAAACGAATTGATGCTACCATCGTACCTGTCAGGAACGTTCAAAAGTAGAAACGAAGTGATTGAAAAACTAATTAAACTTTTCCAAAGTATTAACCAAATCCAAAGAAAATTACTTTCGAAATTACTGTTAGTTCAGAAATGTAGAGGATATTTTGAAAATTGTTACCATAAAAACTCAAGTCGTTGATGTGGAAAGCTTCAATTTTTCTAGTTATTCATTAATTTATGAAGAGTGGAAATCTTCCAAAGAAAGAAATGATTAAAATTATCAATGAAATTTTCGGGATAGAGAGGGTTTGGCTTTACACTTCTCCATATTCATAAAAAAATGTGGAAATTATTCAAAGGAAAAAAGGAAGTAGTTAATTTGTAATCCAAGCATTCGTTATGGAATTGAACCAGATGTCATTTACAGGGTTCCTACACAATATACTAAATGAAAGAGGTGAAATCTCACCCAGATGAAACTCTGTCAGCCTCACTGGTGGACATCCGATGTTTAAGCATAAGATTCTTGCCTTATTTCCTCTTCAAGTAAGCGAAAGAATGTCATTACGTACTGTCATTGATGACTTTAGTAGATTCAACTCATTCGTGACATTCGTGATTTTATGAATGAATTGAGTGCTTCATCTTATAATGTTATCCAGATTTGGTGCTGAAGAGGCAATAAGGCAAGTGTCTTATGCTGAAATATCAGTTGTCCGTCATTGAGGATGACAGTGTTCCATGTAAGTGAAATTTCACCTCTTTTATTTACTATATTTGTAGCAATCCTGTGAATGATATCTGATTCAATTCAATAACAAACGTTTGGAATACAAACTGAATAAAGAAAAATGTTTTTTGTATAATTCAATGTTTATATGAGAGTACCTGGTTCGCGAGGACTTTTTCTTCCAGTTTGTGTCTTGAGAGTTATTTCTTTGCATGATCTACACATCTTTGATTGCTTTCTTGCTTCCTTCGGAAGTTTCCCTCATTTTTTATACGAAAATGGAGAAGTAAAAAGCCAATGCCTTTTTTCCCGGAATCAATCTCTCTTAAAATATAACCCCTTTTAATTTAATCAATTAAATCTTAGAAAAAATGTTTAAATCATGCATGTAGGATTTCTTTCTGATACAGACTGAAAAAATACATCCAAAACAACTAACTTTCTATTATAGAAACAATAAATTACACAGAAAACACTTTTTTTTTTTCTCAGTTTGTTCATTAATCNAGCAAACATTTTCAAAATTCTTGAATTTTTCACTAGTTTTCTCTTCTTGGTATCAGCAACAAGAAGCTTCAGAACTCTCAAAGATTTTTATTTAAATCCACGGCTATGTCGTTTTTATGTGAATGTCAATGTGACTTTTCTGCAAAAAAATTGAAAAAGACATCACTCGAGCCAATAGGAGAACTGTTACATCACATAAGTTAAAAATATCATATCCAAATGCATAGCTGTTTTATTTTGACGATATAACAAATAACTGATCAATTTATTTTCTCGTCAGTTTAAAATAAATAAAACATACTTCAGTTTGTTTATTTAAGTTAAAAAATTAGGAGACGAGATCAATTACACAAATCGTAGATTCGCATTACTTTCGCAGCCTACCTTGTGAATATTTAAAAATAAATTTCCTACTCACTTGGTCTGAGGCTGGGATAAGTATGTGTATATAATGGCAATTTATTCAACAGCAATATAATTTCAGTAAGTAAAATATAGATTTTCAGTTGAACATGTCAGCACAACATGACATCCCTTTCCACGGTCCTTTCATTCTATTGAATTTTCCAAGGAGGAAAACAAATGGAAGGGCGCGCAATTTGAAATGAGCTATGCAACACCAAATACACGTGGAAAGTTCGATTAAGTAATAATAAAATAAAATGTTTATTCACTCATTGATTGGTATTCAAAGATTTCAGGTGATTATTGGTTTAGAAATTGTGGTAGAATCTCCAGATATATGTATAGGTGTCTGTTATCCCAGCTCATGGTAAAGGTTGAGATATAGAAAGTAAAGACAGTTTTGTGCCGAAATCTCCACCCATTTTATGTTCCGACTTATGTTTCAGAGTAGGCTAAATAAATGTTCTCATTTCAGGTGTGTTCTAAATGTGATATGAGTTATATTCAAATCTGTGCAAACGAGAATATCACCTGAGGGATTGAACAATATTCTTGAGAAAGCAGATTCAGCTCTAGTGTGTCATTATTAGATTGACTATGCCTTAGCTATACTTGTTTTCTTATAATAGTTAGTTTAGCAATATAGTTGATCATCACCCGTTTAAAGATCCATTTTCAGATGATTTGACAATAAGCTTTGCACGGACTGGTTATCAGTCATATAAGGAAATTCAAGTTGAAGTTCCAGAAAATCACATACGTTTTTGCTACCTCTTGAACATTTATTACAAAGTAAAGAAGTGAGGATTTTTCCAGCAAAAGATCTACATACACAAGACGAGATAGACTGTGTGGAATCATTCAATCCAGAGCTGTCAGGAGTATTGATTCTGCTATTTTCTTGCTCACGAAGAGTAATCAACAAGAACCCCAAGAATTCGGAGCAATCTGCTTTTGTCCTAACAAGTATCTAGTGGACTTCAAAGACTCCACGAAATCGGTGGTGGGAAAGATGATACATTCTTTCGAAAGTGCAACTGTATGAACAGGTGTTTGAGTTTGGTGAATAAGTAGGAAACATTCTCGTTCTTTAAATTCTTCGTCATGAACAACACTTGTAAAATGCTACTCATGTAGCAATTACCTGAATTATCTCAAATCCTCGTTCTGGATTACTGTAGTTCGACCACTTCGGGGCTCATCTTCAAAGCTAAAATTTCTGAAGCAAAATTTCGCAAACCAGTGTTGAACAATGCGTTAATTCGTTACTTTTTCTACCTGTTATGGAATCTCATACACTTGTTTATGGAAATTTCAGAATGGAATGAAACTAAAATTTGTTTTGTGAATATTATTCATTTTCTTTCTATACATTTAGGTCATTTCACTTTATAAAACTATTTCAAAGAAAAATCAACATAACGGTATTGCACTAGTTCACAATTTCAAGTTCCTTACACACTATTATAATCTCCTTAGTGAATATTCATGACTATAAGAACTAAAATTCTAAACTCAAGAGACATCTTCCAACGATAATTTGAGATATTTTCTTCACGTAATGAACAGAGAAGTTACCTCACACCCAAACTACTTTTGAAGATAAGTTTATAACCCCTGTGGCAGGAATTTCAAACTAGGCTCTTCCAAGTAGAATTTCTCCTGTTTATTAGAAGTAACATTTTCAATTGAAAAAAAAATGTTTCACCCTTTTGAAGTAACGAGCCTAATTTCAAATTCTAATAGTATAAATTCTAAATAAATATTTACAGAATCTTATTCAAGGGTTATACAAGTATGATTCAATTTCTAAAATACATTTGGAAGATTAATGTAGAGACACAATAATACATATTTACAGTTACGACATCCTAAGTTAAAAACAATTAAAGGTTTGTACTTTATCTAAAACAATACGTTCAAAAGAAAAAAGAATATGTTAACAAATCACATAAATGCTGTACAATCTTTTAGAAAAATATAGAGAAAAGAAAGGAACTCCAGCACATTAGTCAAATATAAATTTAAGTTTCATTATTGTTTCCTGTGAGTATTTACAAGATGAATCTCAATAAAATGATGTCAAAGTTAAAAAATTATCAAAACTGAAAAATATGTAGATTAGAAAATTCCAACCTCGATTGAAAAATGTTTCAGAAGGAAGTAAGTTTTTTTCATTGAAGAAATAAAAGTTCAACTTGAAAAACTCAAAATGAGGGTCATCTTGTTGCAAATATTCAACATAATTTTTTGACAATGTTAGTACTGGCCCTATTCTCGAGACTTTGATATGCATCACAGATTCTAAAATACTTAAATTAGGTACAAAATATGTACAAGAAAATAATAAAAACGTGGGGTTCCAACTACAGCTTTGTATGCTTGACAGTATCTGTCCAGTAGTTTTGTATGGTCATAGCTTCTAAACTATTTAAAAATGAATCGTTGTCTAAGCTGTACATTTCTTCGGAGTTGTCCTGAAATCAAAATATAACATTTTAGTGTGATATACATAACTTGAATAAAATGAGAATTGCCTTTTTTTATGAAAACGGAGGCTTTTACAGCTGGAGTTACGATTACAAAGAACAGGATGCGAGCTGGTAGGTCAGGGTCGAATGCAATTTGAAGTAACAAACGTTTCAATAGCTACTGCGGTAGACATCATCAGTGGTATGTATGTTGACTGCATACACGAAGGTTATATTGTTATACTTCAAAATATAACCTTCATCGTCGCGGTCGATGGTGTCTGCCACAGTAGCAGACGAAACAGGTGGTATTTCAGGTTCCGTTCGACCACGGCCTTCCACCCTGCATTTTGTTCCTTTCAATCTTCCTAAGAATTTTGTTTTCATTATTGGGAGGAGAAAATTTGAAGTAATGTAAAGTAATGTTTCTATTATTACTGGTAATTCACAACTGAAGTCGATTCTATCATTATTCATGATTCAATATGATTGTTGTTAGGTTTTTATAAATGTTCACGAGGGGAAGTTATTTGAATTCAACATCAAATTGAGTTTGAATTGTAGGCTGTTTTCAAATTTGAATATTTCAAAGAAAAGAGTTTCACTAATTATCTCTGAGGACTACACCAATTATTTGAAAGACAAATATTTCTTCGATTGAGAAAATACAAAACATGTGCATTTGAGTTTGGACATCAGAGGACCAACTACGAGTACTCTGATATTCTGCCACTATTGAATCTATTTACTTTAGAGCCCCGTCGAGTTGAAATTGTCTTGAGACTTCTACAAAAAATTATAAAAACTGATATGAGTTGTCCATGTTAAACGAAACTGATTTAAATGTAAGAACCAGAGTGTTAGAGTGGTTCGACGTTCTTCGCCATGGTACTACTAAACAAGAATAGCATTGTTATTGACTCTCATCCATGTACTCTTTCAAAAATCAGGTGAAACGTATTGTGAAGAAATTATTGACAATTGATACTAACTGATTGATATTTATGTATTTTTTGGTATTCCAATGTGTTATTCAATTGTCTTTCTTTTCTATCATACTATTTACATATTTATTGGGTCCCCTATTAAAGCATCAGCCCATCAGACAGAAGATGTATGAATTCAAGTGAATGGGAATAGAAAAGATTGCTAACGCGAATACTAAGCATGGTCATCGGACCAAGTCTATGCCAAATATTCATTGTTTTGACGTTTTATCTTTCACTTATCACGTCATCAAGCGAACACAATAAAACATGACAAGGAAGCAGGTGTATCACGATGACCCTTGCCGTTCTTTGAAATTATCATAATTTATCCAAGAACGATATTCGATTTTGGTTCGCAGTCTTTTGTATGTGTTTCGACTCATATGCTGCCTAATGTACTCAAATTATATTCTGCGTTGTTCAGAATATTTCTTTCAAATTGAGATAATGATCGAATGTATGAATATTGTAGGGTTATAAGGGAGGAAATTGACGTGTAATAATTTACCATATTGTATGGTTTCTCGTTCAAGGATCGCAGCCGAACAAACTCGCAAGCGCGTCGGCAGCTGTTTTATGTGAAAATAAACATAAATGAAAGAATTGCTAAAGAAAGCAGACATGCGAAATATAAATAAACTTTCAGTACATGAGGTCTGTTCAAAAAAAAACTTGTAAACATTGTTCTGACTCAGAGTACAATCGTCTTAGGCCACTGTCAACAGGCATCTCACCAGCAAACTGAACATGTCAAACAGCTGAAACTGTGAACATATGTTCCAGAGTGTACCAACATACAAAAATCGCTAAGCGTAGCCCGCGAAATTTGAACATTCACCTTATTTTTTGAGCAGACCTCGCAAGTAGCCCATTTTGAATTATTTCCAGTTGCACATGATGTTTCAAAACTTTTGTTCACTAGATCATTTTAATCTACTCATTTTTTCTCAATTCAATTATTTTATTTTCATTCATTCATAAAAGTGTGTTTCTTCAAGTAACACGTTTGCCACACTTTGAAAAATATGTCAAAAATTTTTAGAACAAGTATAAAAAACTCCCACTGAAGAGTAGCACATTATTTACTACAGAAAATCATCAATTTTTTCTTTAGCATTAAATCTGTGGTGAACATTTTTATAAATATAAACCAGATACATCATGTTTACAACTAAATACTGTTTCAAAAAATGTTAAATGATTTTTCAAATACTCGAAAGAAGTGTAGTGTTCTCTCATATCGCTGTTATTATTTTAAGACTTGCAAAGCATGCTATATTTCTTATATCCATTCTTATTGCCATATATACAGAGCTGGTTCAAAAACTTTGGTTGGACTTCAACACAAACATTATACTAGTGAAATATGAGTGAAAATATCATTTTTGTACAATGAGATGATTTGTAACATTTATAAGTCACATCTAAAAAATAAAGCAGAGTATCAAAAAAAACATATATTTCCAACGGAGTTTCTCATTAAGAATTTCATGCTTTGATTCATATTTGTCATAGACAAAATTTAAAAATACGAGTTACTGCCTGATAAAACTTTTTAGTACGCAGTAACTTCTTGGGGTAAACTCAGTTATCTTTAATAAACTTGGGAGCAGATTCTTTTTTGATTTGGATTTAATTCAAGTATCAGATTGTGAAAAAATCAATACCCAAAAAAATCGACACATTGACTCAACAAAAAATATCTATCGAAGAATATTACCAGCCAAAAATCATTCTCACATGAAACAACGTTTAGTTTTTTAGTCACAAAAACATCTATAGTAGAAGCAATGTTTTAATACTCTGTAATTCTTTCTAAAATTAAATAAAAGATTCTTCATTAGGGGTGATTGTAATGCCTATATCACATGTAGTGTATTCCGGTTGTAGCCACTAGGAATTTGAACACAATTATTACGTGAAGTGTTTTCAGTATCTGACCCCTCACCGGGGAGGCCATAACTATTTATTCAGGTTATAAATGTTTTCTTTTGCAGTTTATAAATCTGAATTACTAGTATTATTGATTTTACTTGAAATAAACGATTACTATTAATTTCATAAGCTATAACAAAAAATATAGAGCTCCTTCACAAACCGAAGCCAATAATCATTTTGATTACAAACTAGTACAAATAATACATTTTCACCCAAACTTCTCACAAACCTTTCATGACTTTACTGTGTCCGTTACAAAGAAAAAAAAAGCCACTGTGCAACCTAAAATTACTAGACCATGCTTACTCTTACTGAAGCATCATCGATATATCCACTTGAGTCCGGATTGCTGCATCGATCGTTAAGTACTTGTGGCCTGTTGAATCCCCGATTTCTATAAATGAAATAGCTGATGCCGGATAAAATACCCACTGTAACGACACAACCTAGGGTGATTCCGGTTATACCGGCTGCAGAGAGATTTCCTTCGGAGCTCAATTCATCATCATTTTCCTCCACTCCTAATCGCTCAGAGTTCTGGACGGAACTCTGGTTGAGGTTCTCCACCTCCTCCAAGTATGTTAAATTATCGGTGCGATTTATTGCTATTAAGCTCGAATTTATAAGTAGTGGATTATCCGTCATGTTTTCCATGACATTTATCACAGTTTCTTTGACCTGAAATAACAAACAATAATTCAACATTAATAACAATACTTATAGTAGTAATACAATTCAAGTATGAATGAATTGAAACTGAATATAGCAAAGACTCAAGGAATAAATGAATTCCACAATGGACTTCGAACTATAGGTTAGTCTCGCAGATGCTTTTCGTTCATATAGCAGCAGGACTGAGCTGAAATTATTCGATTTGATCACCTGTAGTTCATATATTGTTAAAAATCTAAAAATTTTACTAATGCTTCTATTTACCTTGACTTCCTTAGTTTTATTTTCACTGGTTGAATTTGGGAAGAGAAAGTCGTACTTTTTGAAAGAAGACTTCACATGTTTCACAACGGTAGTGTCTTTTGGTGCCGATGTGTATTTCGGAGCAACTGGAATCATAAGGGTTGTGGGCGGATTTGTTGAGCTTCTTGGTAGTTCTACTGAATGGTCCAATTCGACAGTAATGCTGGCAGAAGGCATATCTGTGGTGCTGGAATGTATGGTTGCAGGAATTGATTTGCAAATGGTCACTGGAAATTACAAATAACAAAAGTATTATACTTGATTTTTGATAATATATAACATCTCTGATACACAACACTGTAACTGTTGCATCAAAAGTGAAATTTTTTTACACGGAATGCTGATGTCCATTTCGATTGAAAGTTTTGAGTGTTAGTAAAATTGTATATCAATACTCTTTCATATAAGTATAACGTTGTGTAGTATTCCTGTGAACGTGTTTCATTACCATTATGAAAGTTTGGAGTACGAATTGAATGAGACAAAGTAATTTCCGTTTAATTTAATGTTCATTTATTTGAACGTAGTTGTTTCTGATTGTCTATTATAAACATTTTTCATTATGCTATTATTTTCATTCAATTATTGTTGGAGTATCAGACTTCACACTGTAATTTTTGACCTTACTACTTATCCATTCTTCCTCAAACTTACATGACATGATTGATGTGTAAGTGTATAAGTTGTGGTTGTTAATAACTTCTTTGAAATTTCAATTTTTATATTTATAAATGACCTTGCCAATAAGCTTCAGACAATGAGGTATATTTTAAATTGACACACTCAAGTAATTTTTTACAGGCTGTAACTGAAAAAACTGCTGTTCAATGATACACTAAACAGTGATTCCAAAAGATAAATATTTACAGACATATTGTCAACAATGAAATTATGTATATAACAATAATAAAACATTGCATTATTCTCAAGTGGATGTGGTTAGTGCTCCTTTTCTTATCAAGTTATTTTGTAACCATTAAATTATCTCACTTCTTGATAATACATTGAGAAATGTTCTACTTACAAGAAATCCATAGGGTAATCCAAAACCAATGCATCCACCAATAATGGGTCATGATTTCCACAATTTCAACCACATTTAGAAACTAAAAAGTAACACAATTAGTACCAAATTTAATGACATTACCTGAAACAATGGGTATGCAATGCTGCAATAGCTAATTTTCACCTACAGTTTTTGACGGACCTGTTCTTGTGTTTACACTTTCAAATCGATATAAATACACAATTGAAAGCGAGTAAGAGAGCGCTGACACACTTCAACAATAACAATAATCAGCATTTACATACCTATTGTATTTTTCAGTACAGTCATACTCATCAATATCCCAATAAATTGAATTAATTATATCTTCCATACATTGTACCTTTTCAACACAAACACAAATGTCACAGAACATAGCGAGGTTTGTAAAACTTCACATTTCACAAGACAAGAGGCCACGCAAAGATTAAACATTCATCGGGTATCTTCGGTTGGAAAATCTACAAGGATTTAAAAAATTCAATTTAATGAAATTTTTCAAGTTTGATAAATAAAGAAGGGAATAGAAAATTATCAGATTAATCATCGTAGTGTAATCCCTGATAAAAAATGGATTATGGCATGAAACACACGTATTTTTCTAAGTTGACTAAAATTTTCATTTGTCAATAGTGTCAGTTGTTATGTTGATGTTCATGCCCCTACCTCCAATGAGGGTATCGGGTATGATCCGAATCATCCGAAAAAAAGCTAAATTGCGATTATAGAGTCCAAAACTAATCACCTCCTCGTATTCCTGAAAAAGTGGTGACATTCAGACCACGTGTTCCTTAAAAATGATTAATCAAACGTCAACCAAGTCACCGGCAAATATTGGTCGGTTACCCACATTTTTCATGTTGATGTGATCCAAATAAAGTATGTGTATTCAAAATTTTGAATATATTCAAAAACAAATATTTAACAAAATATAGATAGGTATCTTGTGTCCGCCTCATAAAAATTCTGATAGATTCTTCACACTATAACACTGGCATCGATTTTAATACCTCTTCATAGGCACGCAACTGACCGATCGGGTTAGATCGGGATTTTTGTTAAATGTCAACCATAGACACTATAATATATACATGTGTAAGTATATTCAATATCTATGACGACAATTTCACACTTCTACAAATTTGAAAAGTATTTGATGAATTTGTAAAGCTGGTCACAAAGCATTTCAGTTCGGTCAATTCGGTTTCTAATGACATGTGAAACGTTATATTTTTGCCACACAATGTGTCTACGCAGGTTTTTCCGGGTTTTCCTCCAGATGAAAAAGTAAATGCTCCATTGGAATCAATCAAGTCGCCCCGAAGCGCTAATTAATTTTTGTTTTTGTTTCATAATTTGCATTACTTTCTCTTTGTATGTTTCTATAATTAAAAATTCGCTTTTAAAAAAATCATTTATTAGACACAGGGTAGAAGTTGCCACATATATTCGATTTCTAATGATGTTAATATTTTCTTATAGTTTTTTCGAAAATTAGCTGAAACTGAATTCCATATCGATTGTTATTAATGCTTCTTTTTTTTACCATCATCGAAGATGTCAAGGAACACCAAACAACATTTATAATCAAATGTGTTGGCAACACCTTATTTCTGTGGTATGTCAAATCACAGAATGGGAAGCAATAACCAACGTGAAGTTATCCACTTATACACATATAAACGACGAAAAAAAATATGACACACTAATTTTCGCTTTTTTCAACATATGGAAGTATCAATGCTATATTATATAACTACATGAAAATATGCAACAGAGAAATCTGCCCAGGGACCTGATATCAAAGGTTCGAAAGAAAACTGAAATTGACACTTTCATGGATAAGAAGTGGTAGTGAACTACTATATGTAAATGAAAAAGTTTCCAATAGTTTGTAAGGCCTCAGGAGGGGGTTGGTGGCGGTAGTAACTCTGAATAATCGAATAACTCGTTTCAATGAAACAGTACCGCATTCTCATTTTATTATATGTGTTTTCTGAAAAAAAAAACACCCTTCTAAAACATTCTATATTGTGGGGTCGATAAGGGACAGATTCTCTAAATAATCGACTTGTTTCGATAAAACAGTACCGCAATCTAATTTCAATATACGACTTTGGCTCAATAAACTCTGCTTATCAGTATAGTTTTTTGGGTTTTGGTTCTTCTTTGTGGCATATAACATATAGGTATTGAAAAATATCATACGGTACTATTTCACCGAATCGTGTTTGGGAAAAACTGGGAATCACACGTTAAAAAGTGAGATCTCATTAATTCTCAACTCGTAGGACGTCGTAGAATTGTGACAGCTGGTTAACCTCAACCGCATGAGACCTCACAAACTATATGAAATATATAATCAGGGTTTCTCTGCGCTAAAACATATATCAGCATCAGAATGCCATACTATTTCATTGAAAAACATTCGAATACTTTGAGTAACTATCCCACGCCCCCACCAACTGTCTCCTAAGGCCTTATAAACTATGAGGAATGGTGTCATCTAGATTTTTTCAAATATTCAAATATATTTCAAAGGCAGAATGTATGGTACTATTTTATTAATAGAGTTCACCGTCAATTATCTTCCATTAAAAGATTGATTTCAGTACACAACTCCTTAATAGAGGGTTTCTGAGTGGATTGCTCCGTTGTATCTTTGTTAAATAATATAACCAAACTCTTACGAAGGTTCGAAATAGATGAACACTTCAATCTAGCAGACCACTATTATAATCTTCATGCAGTCTTTGTTCACTGTGGTTCTGTCGTTGAATCTGGTCATTATTACGCCTTGGTCAAAGACGAAACGGACTGGATTAAGTTTGACGATGGTCGTGTCACGAAGTGTTCTGGCGATGTATTGAATTTATTGGAGCCTCTGGAGACACCCTACATTTCGTTTTATGAAAGAGAAGACATTGGCAGATCAAGATCTTCAGANTTTTTCATCTTCAACAAAACATAAATTGCATTTTTTCATGTAGGGTTTAATATCGTTGATATAAATGACACACAGTAGTCTGTACTCCAAAACAAGCACTGCTCCCAAACATCAGAACTACAGCACTCTTCTCGACGCTAGTTTCACCAACTATGTCGGCGTCTTCAGGGTATATACTAGACTAGTACTATGTTGCTGTATCGCTGCTGTTCCAATGTTTTAACAGAATCGGAATCAACGAACTTAGGCGTGCGTAGCGTTATAGAATAGTGCTTTCAAAAAAATTGTTCTTCAACGCCATCTAGTGGCGAATTACAGAAAATTTGATAGCCTAAAAACCTTCTCTATGAAAAATTACTTATACATGTCAAGTTTCATCACGATGGGTTGAGCGATGTAGAAATTTATCACTTACTAGCCAACAAACATCCATTTTTATATATACTAGATTAGTCTACTAGTCGCCTCCTTTCGTGTAATTCAATGTTTACATGAAAGTAGCTGTTTCGAGAGGGCGTTTTCTTCCAGTTTGTGTCTGAAAATTACTTCTTTGTACGATATACACCTTCTATACTAATATAAATGTGAAAGTTTGTGAGAATGGATGTATGTATCCACTGTGAGACGATGGGGGACGATGCGCGGGGGTAGACAGGTGATCTAAGCAATGAAGCGCCATCGCCGAAAACGCGACCCGAACTCGGGCAGATGCGTGAGGGCAGACATCGTTGACGGTCGTGTTAGTTTTGTTAATTTCTCTATAGGTAACATAATTCAATTTTCGAAGCTATTCATTGCATAGTGCAAATATGCCCATTTCAATATATACAAGGTTCTATTGAAAATTCTTGTCTTAGGTTCATTTCCTTTCGAACCGAAATAGGTTTCCAATCGTTTTTCCATTAGAAATAACGACTTCAAGAATTTCAATATTATTACCGCAGAAACAACTGAATGGCGCCGTGTACAATAATTTCGGTGTCACCCGGTATATTGTTTGATAATAATTCACTGTTAAGGCAGACTGGCACATACTGGCAGCTGGCAGTATGTGCCATACTGGCAGAAATAGATAAAGTTGCAAACTCAGTTTAAACTTATAATAATCCAAATGCTAAGTTTCCGCTTTTTCAATAAAAAATGTGTTGTAAATTGTGCCAAGGTGAAGACAACCAGTTCAGTGCATCGATTCTGAGAACGAGCAGTGAGACTGGCCATATTTTTTGTTTTTGGAGAAAATGATCTCACATTTGTTTTTGAGAATAATAATGAAGGCTACTGAGTACATGTGGCTGATTCAGTGCTCTGATAGCTAATGAAATATTAACCGCCGAAAAAGGAATGCGAAGAAAGTCAGTCAGTAGCCATTCGAAGAGCAGTAAAACAGCAAATAAAACCGTACGGTTTTTAGATAATCTTTGGTAGAAAAAACATGGGTATATTACATAGTCTTGACCTCTACTTATACCCAGTAGTTGATAGAAATATAAACGACGACTTGTTTGTGTAAAGTAACCAGTTCTTGTTTATTTAATAAGCAGGTAGGTATTTTCCATCCGTCAGACAATGAAGGCGTTCTAATATTTAAACTCATTTCACTTTTCTAGCGTTCCCCGCTTAAGAAGTAGGTGAGTAATAAAATATACTTATAAATATTTATTTCACATTTGGTAATCGCCGTGTAATATCAAATCGGAACAAAAGACGTGTTGATTAATAAGTTCCTTTTTCAGCGTGGAGTTAATAGTTGCGGAATGTAAATGGAAGTACCTGTTTTGGAAAGGGAGGCGGACAGATATGACCGACTGCACGTATGCCATTTGATGGGTTCGTGTCCGGTCTTCGAGGAGACCAACTAGGTGGACATAAAAAACGCCTTCAGATGAATTATGTTTCTAAAGAATATTTTGCGTTATCTCCGGATAAAATTCCAGGTTGAAAAGTAACCTGATCCGATACATGGATGATGTATTTGCCATTTTCGATACGAATAGTAGTAGGGTAGAGGATTTTGTATTTTGCCTCAACTACAGATTTGCAAGTATAAAATTCACGTATAGAATTGAAAATAACGAAGAAATGCCATCCTTGGATGTACTAGTTGATTGAAATTTCGATAAGGATTTAGAGTTTGATGTATATTGAAAGAATACGAACACTTTCAGGTATATCCCTGACAGCTTGACAGCTTTCATCATTGCCCACACCAAAAAATGGCGGGACTACAATTTCTTGTTCATAGATTGCACACATTTCCTTTAAACAAAGAAAGGTATGAGATTGAGAAAAAGGTTTTTAGGGAGGTGGCTGAAAGCAATGGGTATCCATCAAACATTGTGGAATAATTAATTAGAAAACAAAAACTTAGGGAGACTTTTCGAAAAGAGGAAGATTCAAATTTCATAGTGCTTCCATATGAACCCAAACACACCAATGGGTTGGTTCCAACATTAAAAAAAGTGGATACAAGGGTGGCTTTCAAAACTTAGGTACACTTCAACAAGTGTTGGGCAATCCGAAAGCCAAGACGTTGGAAAAAAAGTCTGGGATTTACGAAATGAGCTGCGAAGATTGTGATAAGAAATATGTTGGTCCCTACAAGGAACATGTTTTGGCATGTTCGGTTTCATAGACCGGAGAAATCTAGTGTCGCTTAACATGCCGTAGAGAAACACCATAGGGAAGTGTTTAAAATTGTTGAGACCTATACATGACAACAGGTTTCTGGATGCCTTTGAAAGCTTGAAAATCAAAAAGTGTGGAATGTTTTCTAAGATTATCGACGAAGGTCCTATTTTATTTTTCTTTATACGGTTATGGAAACGTCAAATTTGAAACAAAACGTTTTTTTCTTTCCATTGATTTTTAAAGGAACTGACCCTAGTAATACTTATGAATTTGGCACAGTTGCTCATTATTCTACAGCTCTACAGCCTGAAAGTCGAACGTTCTATAAAAGTTTAATGTCTAATGTCAGCTTCTCAGTGCAATTTCAAGAATTTCAATTTTATAGATTTTTATTTTTTCATCTTCAACAAAACATAAATTGCATTTTTTCATGTAGGGTTTAATATCGTTGATATAAATGACACACAGTAGTCTGTACTCCAAAACAAGCACTGCTCCCAAACATCAGAACTACAGCACTCTTCTCGACGCTAGTTTCACCAACTATGTCGGCGTCTTCAGGGTATATACTAGACTAGTACTATGTTGCTGTATCGCTGCTGTTCCAATGTTTTAACAGAATCGGAATCAACGAACTTAGGCGTGCGTAGCGTTATAGAATAGTGCTTTCAAAAAAATTGTTCTTCAACGCCATCTAGTGGCGAATTACAGAAAATTTGATAGCCTAAAAACCTTCTCTATGAAAAATTACTTATACATGTCAAGTTTCATCACGATATTTGCTAACTTTATCACAAATCTTGACGCTCTGAACTTTCTTTTCCAAATAAGACCTCATCAAATTCAAGGCAACACCCCTTACACCATATCTTTGCAATTTCCTTAGTAGCAGATCGTGGTTCACATAATCAAGAACTTTTGAAAAGTCTGTGAATAAACTGCAAATACTTAATTTGCCATCTAGTGCATTTATTATATGGTCGTAAAATTGGTAAAGTGCTGTCTCTTTGCTTTTATTTTTAGTAAATCCGTGTTGATTTGGGAAAAGAAGTTTATTATTTGCGAAAAAAGACAATAACTGATTTTTGATATTCAACTCAAAAACCTTGGAAACACTTGAGAGTAGACTAACTGGCCTGTAATTTTCGTACAGGTTTTTGTCTCCTCTTTTATGCACAGGAGAGACAATTGCCATTTTCAAGATTTCAGGAAATACTCCATGTTCAGTGGAGAGGTTTATAATATGTTTTATAGGACTACACAATTCAAAAACAGATTTTTTAAGAAGATTGTTTGATATTTCATCATGGCTAATTGAGTTGGAATTTTTCAAGCTTCTAATCAACTCGATAACATCATACTCTGTTAGAGGGTGATAAAAAATTGATTTGGGACAAACCTGTATGTTATTAGCTATATAATTGAGGTTTGTATTTTGTTGGACCACATATTTGGAAAATTGTATATTGAAATTATTTGCAACTTCGCTGTCTGGGAGTCGAATACCATTCTGGTGAATTTCAACTTCATTTGATAGGTTCTCCCCTTTAATTTGCCACATGGATTTCTATTTATTTTTTGAAGCATTTATGTGCTCATCTACATATTTTTTGTGAGTAGACTTTAATTTCTCTCTGTAAGTCTTGTTATTTTTTTGCTCATTTCTGTGTAGTTTTCATTTACTTTAGCACATTCCGAATAAAATGTCATTTGACTTTTTAATTGTTGTAGTTATGGTGAAAGAATGAACTGAATTGAGTTGATGGTTTCAAGCTCAAAGTTGACCCTCTTACAAACAAAATTAACTGTTTTTGTATATTTGCGAAAAGTTAATGTTAGTTTGCGATCCTTTGCGGCTCGAAAATAGGGTGGACTTAGTGAAGTATTATAAACCCACCTATGAAACTGTGGCTAATCATAAAGGAATAACAAATTTTTGTTTGAGCACCGTGTTAGCGCTTTGTATTTATATTGAGCATTCATTACTTTTCACTATTATTTCGTTGATTCAAACCTGTAGTCTTGATTCGAATGTCCAGTTATGTAAGATTTGGCGAATAAGAGTTCACATCATTTGATTCCATCGATTGCGTTCTGCATTTAAAATACCAAAGTACGTCATTCATTGGAAAAACGGCTGCTGCATTCAAAATCACCAAAGCTTGTAGTTTAGCGGTATACAAAGAAACATTCAACAATTTGAATGACAATAAAGGAGAAGCCATGTGAACACAAAAATTTAAAAAAACAACTAGTATGTGATTAGTCTACAACTCAACAAGGCGACTTAGTATCGGAGGTCAACTGTCATTATTTTATTCGCGTTTTTACGTAAAGCAGGTGGGTTGAATATTGATTTCTATATTTATTTGTCACGATGTAAGTGTCGTATTTTTCGCCGTTTTCAACGACTATGTCCGACCTTCGCTTGTACGTATAAGGTCGGTGTCACCAATGATGACATGATAATAATAACATTACCTGAACCCACATATAATGATGAACGGTGAATACCGAACACTTCGAAAGTTTTACAAAACTGGGACACGTGTTTCGCTTCACAACAGTTTTCTCAAGCAGAGTGTCCAGTCAATGTACAGCAAAACACGTCACGCGATTTTCTTAACCGTTGGAAGTGAAAAATTACAATAAACTTTATTAGTAAGTTTTTATAGTTTTTATAGGTTAGTAGAATTACCAGGCTGTTCAGAAATTACTATTATTTATCATCAATACATACATGGGCGCAGTGGATTATAAAATAAGATATTGAGGTCCCAGTAAATAATTCAAAAAACTGTTTTTATCGTTTATAGCTGCTATCTCATTTTACATTGTTTGAATAATACGTTAAGGAACTATTTTTATCTCTGAAACTCATTAACGGCATTTCTCAACAAGATAAAAAAAAATTATGAATGATTTGATTGTTCATCAAGTTGAAAATTTGTTAAAAAATTCTGACCATTGCTACTGAGTGTTGAAAGTTGAGCGATTCTTTTTAAAACGCCAGAAATGAACCGTTTAATGTTTCAAAATATTGATTACACTCTGTAGACATATCAAGAACTAGTGTTCGATCATTCCCATAATGAGTTCCTTTCATTTTCAGGTGTCTAACGAAATGCCTCCACTGAAGTTGGTGATGTACAGAAGCCCCTCATTTTTATCGACATAACTGGTGAGTTTCGCAGAGATTAGATTATTACAACTGACTTGAGATAAAACACCTAATGCAAGCATGTAATCAGTCGCTTTCAGTAATTATCGGAAGTATGTCTTACAGTAGTCTGTTTGTAGTGGTTTGTCTCAAAAGCCCTCGGATCGGCGCCGTCGAATTTAAAAGTGCGTAAACGAAGTGCTGCTATGTGGTTTTTCATTTAACGATCCCAATACAAATGAATTACAGGAGGTTCGGAATAACAGGTGAATTTTTTGACGGTTTTTTCAATTTACCATTTTTGGATGAAAAAAAAATATTTCACTTAGAATCGTAACTTAGAAGTAACTTTCAGACACAAACTGGAATAAAAAGTCCTCTCTAAGTGACTACTTTTATATAAACATTGATATTGTCTTTCTGTAACGTAAATTTACTAAAACATTCAAAAGCAGTTTCACCAAAAAGTTAAGTATGATTAAAGTTTTTGTCATGAAATAAAACAAGCAAAAACTAATTATATTTTTATCTCAAGTGTTCAAATTGTATTTTTTCGGAAAATTTTCAGTCTATGTTGACATGCACTCTCTAAGTTTATAAGTTGTAGAACTCCCCGACGGTATTTATCTGTAAGGCTTATTTTAGTTTTTATTTCGAGGTACAAAAAGTGTATGTTCAATTTTTTGTACGTCACGAGCAATTCTTCATGTAAAATACGGATTACCTTTTCATCATCAGCTGATGAATTCCAAGGAAAATCCACAGTTGAAATTTAACTAAAATGGAAAATGAGTGGGGATTATTGCACTAACCTCGCAATTAGGCACACAATTGAATAACACATGACAGACAATAATTGAAACATGCTTTCATAATGATGACAAAATTCTAATTTTATGTAATTGTTGAAATATCGGAAATGGAAACTACGAAATTTGATCATAAGAACAATTTGGAAGTTTTGAATGTTCCGCAAAATAATTGCGTTTTAACTTGAAATTGTTTTCCTATATTGTGTGATAAAAGTTTCTTTTCTTTTGGATCTATGTTCGGTAAGCAAGGATTCTCTATACAGTTATTGTATATTTTATACAGGTTCGACACTTTTTCTGTCAATAAAGGAAACATTACAATAATAATAATATTCATTAAATCCTTTTAGATCATACAAAGGATACGTCAAAGTTTGTTGTTGTTGTATGTTGAAGAACTCTGTTTTGATTGTTACAAGGCCTACTCTATCAATTCTGACAAGTTGTTAACTCTAGAATCCAGAGAAGATTATCACTCTTGGTTGATTTCATGTCAAGAACATTTCTATGAATATCTATGACACCAAGTCTGAGTGTTATGATGTTGAACTTGGGGTTCTACAAGGTTGGATTGTAAGGCCACTGATTTTTATACTTCCTATGCACATTGGACGTGAAATGTTCATTTTTTATGCGGGTTATACATCTATAGCTAAAGAGGTTTGACCATCTTATCATCGTAGTTCGGAAAGATGAACATTTGGAAATATTTATTTTCCTATACGTATGTATCTCTCCTCTATAGTTTTCAAGTTTGATTTCTATTTTTTGTTAATAATGTGTCCGTCAAATCATCAGAATCTATGATATTTTGAGGAACTTGGACATATTGAGCACATTGGTAAAACGACAAAAATCAATGTCTATGCTGTGTTACAACTTAAAGGAATTCGAGATGGAAAACTCCCCAATTAACATTTATAATGCCTTGATCAAACTTGTAATATAATATATATTATATTATATAAGTTATATATATTATTCCCTTGTCCGGCTGGCTCGGTATACTTTATGTTCTCACGTTATCTCTCTTCTGTTCTGTCAGTAACTGTCCTATAATAGATAGGGATTCTGTGGTCCTAGCCCGTGGTACTCTTGATACAATTGTTTTCTGGACGGTTTGAGTTGTTATTGAACTAATGTAATTTTCGAGTTCGATCAATGTATTTACAAAGTGAATATTTTGTTAAGGATATGATACGATGCGAAAGATAACAGCTTCCGTTTACTATAAACTATGTCTGAAGAAAAAACCTGCAATGTTCATTTTCGGAAGAAATAGTGATGAGTAATGGATTCTGAAATAGTATTTCTAGATATTCTCAATTGAAACGCAACTATAGTGGGACGATTAAAGAATGCACTTGCGTTATTAACAAAATACGTGAGAAACACATACTTTTATTTAGCATTCTTATCTTCTGCAAGTGAAAAACGAAGAATGAAGAGTTAAAGTTTACGTTTAATCAGAGAGAGGACCGTTGACAGTAGTTTAGGATTTGCTAAACTGTACGAATGTTGTAAAAAGGGGTTATTCTGCCCTAACATGTCTGCTATTCATTAGAAAGGATTCATTTGGGTTCCCTTAAACAAAAATTGTTATCTCTAGTATGATTACATGGAATTTTTATGGCCTCAAGACTGTAACACACCACAATTTTTTCCACATTTTCGCGAAAGATCCTCTTGCGACTAATTTTAATCCTGTAACAATGGGTAATTCCAGTATCTATATACCCAGTTATAAAATGTTATCTTGATAATTTCGTGCATGGGATTTGAATTTTCAAGAAGCACTTCATTTGTGTGTTTATCGACGTCACTGGTACAAGGATCTCGAATGACGTTTGTTTTTCTACACTACGAACAGTTTAAAATTGGAACTTCTGGAAGAAATGATTTATAGGAAACACTTTTTCCACGCACCAGAATTGTGACATCAGGAGGAGATATGAACTAATGTCTAAATTATGTCGTCAAGTAAATTGTCTGTCTGTTTGTCTGTCTATGTGCATCCCACGCGATTTTTGTTCAATTATGTCTCTAAAGAAACAAGATCAAAGCTAGTATCTTGTTTCTTATGGCTTATTCTCCAGGAAATGAACTCATTGACTTGAAACTCTGAAAGCTTTACAAGGACGATCAGTTAAGTTTTCAGTCAATCCTATAGATGTCGTCTTATTAGAGAAGACGTCATGCTCACTTTTTCCAGTCATTTTTGTTTTGACATCGGATTTGTACTACTAGTGATAGTAGCGTGAGTAGATCTAATTTGTGTGTGAGTCTTTAATTTGTTTACCATTTCCAAACAGCTTAAAAAATTTGAACAAGTTTTTTAACTACTCGTTGTTATTAAAATAATCGGTAACATATTTTTGTCGCAAGTCAAAGATAGTATTAATAAGTCACTTTTCAGAAGAACTTCTTTTGTGATACCCTAGTCATAATTTACACTTTCGTCATCCGCTTTTATTATCCTGAAGGTTGAGTTGGCACTAATTGAATAGGTAGATATTTTCCTTCATTTTTAGGTACACCGACAAGTGTAAACATTCGAAAAAGAAGACCTTGATGTGTTTTTTTTACTTTGTGTATTGATATGAGTCACGAGATGCGTCCTTTTAATTGTTCAAGTAATGACATTCATCAAAACAACTGAAATCAAAGGCTAACGACTCGCGATCAGCCATATCACATTGGCGTGCAGGACTTTTTGTAGGGGGTTTATATAGAAGATGTATTTCAAGTAGGTACAACAAACAAAGCTGTATTCTTCATTCCGAAATAAGTCAGCAGAAGAACCCCGATGGCTGCTAGAAATAGTAGTTGAATGTCTACAGATTGGTGCTCTTGAATCAGCCAGAGAGGGACCAGCATCTCCCATTCGATCTGTAACTATCTATATCTATAACAATTTGATTTATAACTATCGTATTCATTTACCAGTGGCAGAAACATTGTTACGTCAAACTTTTATTGAAAGTATGAAGAAAATGTTTTCAACCAACTGATGGGAATGAACAATGTGGCGACGCTGTATTCAGCAGGACAAAGGTTTGTGTTTGAAGGAGCCAAAAGAGGAGGTTACTTCGAAAAAGAGATTTGGGATAATAAATAAATATTTATTTTTATGACACATTTTATCACTACTTTTCAAAAAGCCCTCGTACAGTTCAGCTCTCCGGTTTCTATCATTTTCCAACGTTCAATTTTCCAACTTGACTTATCTTGTAGTGAATTTTCGCTAAAGTGCAAAGCTATGTCAACTGTTTTTATATTCAACCTTGATAGCATTAATAACGTCATTTTATTAATTATTTGACCATTCGAGCTGAACGCATACAATTAAAATGAAAGAATTAGTTTGTTACTCAAATATTTACATTGGAAAGTACATTGTCGCTAATCACCTTTTTTCAAAACAGTTCCAAATCCAAATATTTGATGTTTCAATAAACAACTACCGAATGAATGATAAAAAGTGAACTGACGTTTCATTCGGAGGCCAAGGTGATGATAATAAGTATAAAACCATCGTTTATTCGACTATGGCACTTTGCGGGTAACTTGTGTAGCTCATTCTTAGCGAATATCTATGAGTTGCCAAGATAACAACCTTCGCTTCGGTCGGTAGCCGGTCGGTTCGACGTGGGTGCTTTGTTCTCACACTCAAATCGACCGCTGTGTGAGTCTGTGGTTCAAGCCCCAGGCTGAACGATCGATTTTCACTTGCCATCGTCCAACCCGGGTTAGGAATCACACGTTAAAAGGTAACACCTCGTTAGTCCGTAGCTCGCACAAGTTCCAACTTCTGAGGGTTGTCGTTCTTCTTCACAGTATTGAAGATGATCCATTATTGATGACTTTGACCGAGAACGATTGGAGCAGACAGCAACAAGAATCGGGCTAAGAATGCATGTCTCCAAAGCAACATAGCATACGTCCAGGATTGCCTTTTAAGGACAGTTGAGTCCAATATTGCGTTCGTGGTTAAGCCTAGTACCATGATGTGACTTTTGGCGGGTCGAAACAACGCTCTCTTGTGTTGGATCATGAATGCTTTGTTTTTGGGCTATGGTTACATATAGTTGCCTTGCAGTGAAAAACAAAGGACGAATCCCCTTAGGCGGTCGATGTCAAACTTTTGTAACTGGCCGCCTTCAGGAGCCTCTGTCATTCCCATAGATGACGTTTTCATAAGGAGGGTGTTCATTTCTACTTGTGCAAATTAAAAATGTAGACTTCCTTCTTTTATGAATTTACCATAATAAAACGTCCTCTTGTAAGTGTCAGCATTCAGTTATAATTGATACAGGATTGTAAATAATGATGAAGAGCAATATATCTCTTGGTTGGATAGATTAATAATAAAATTCATCGAACGAACCCCTCAAAATATGTTTTCTAGTAAGTTTAAACCACATGCTGTCTAATACGAACAGAGCTAATTATAAATCTAAAAATAGAAACAGTAATTTCTGCACTCGGTTGTGCTTCCTAATATAATTATAATGTAATGGTCTTTCCAATACATACCGAGTGGAATAAAACTTGCTCACTTTTATTTCATGCTGAAATGTAGCAGGCCAAGACTAAAATGGGCGCTCATTTCGTTAGATACAAAGATTGTTCGTTAAATATCGGATGATGATAATGATGAAGGTTTGAAATCGATAATTAAATTGTTCAAAAAATCATATAATAATTGTTATATTTCCAGAGATTCTCCAAAGAGAAGAACCGATTTTCCATGTGTGAGATTGATACATAGGTAACTCATTGTTTCTCAAAACTTAACAGTTTTCCTAACAAGGGTTCAGTTCCTGATACATAAATAGCATACAAAAGTACTTATATGCAGAGACACAAACAAAAGAGAGTGTGTTGTTAGCAGCGGTTGTCAAAGTATTTCAAGTAGAAACATAATTTACTCGTTAATACCGATCTGCCAGCCAAAGACCTATTTGCTTGCCAGAGTTTGGACATGAAAGTATCTAACAGTTTCTTCTCATTTCTAATTATAGTGATAGCCCTAATATTTGACCATGCCATGTTGTAGTCTGCAAAATCGAGCTTCAATCTGCCTAGACCAGTTTTTTTTTCGTTTCATCGTTTGTTAGTTCTAGTTGTCCTGAGAAACAGAAGCTGAAGAAGAGTTGATTGGCTGTTTGAAAAATGTCTAGCATATTTTGGAACGTCCAGTTTCTAGTCTGGCGTAACTGGTTGCAATATGTTTCCAAATATTTTTTTGTGACCCGATAAATAGAAAAACCCCCTGTTAACAAAAGAAACATTTGAAATAATCGACAGCATTGAGATGTTTTAATACTCTAGGCATATTTGCCTTCTAATATTTCTGTTACAGATGTGGAAACTGCTCTCTATAACAGAAATCAAAAAAGTATGATGACTGTTAACGACAAGACTATCATCCTCTATGAGGTAACTTGTATAAATGTTAGTCGGATATAATTCAATGTTTATTGTTGTATTAGCCTGGGAAATAGTTGTTTGGCAGGCATTTACCAGTTCCTACTGTACGAGTATACAAACGTTGGGAAATATTTATTTTCTTGTACGTACGTATGTTTTCTCGATACAGTCTTTATGACGAAGATTTGAAACGGATACACTAAAGAAATCTTAATAATGATGTAATAAAGTCGACGTGTCAAAGAGGATTGTTCTTCAACCAGCCGGCAAACTAACCGTGACCTCGACTACCGTAAAAACTTGAGTGTAACGTATAACGTACGAGTCTGTTTAGGTACGGACATTTCTTTTCTATTGTTTCGGAAATTGAATGTATTGTCGGCAAAAAGCGGCTCTAGGACGTAGGAAGCCATGCCAAATTATAGAAACAGCTGAGAAAACTCGTGCTTAATGCAGGACATCCGGCACTTCGCTACTGGCTCTGCGTCGAATTTGATTACTATATCTTTTTTGTCCGTACTTCAAATTATTTCAATACATTTACCGTTTGATCCAAATTGAGTAACAGTTTTTTAACATTGTTCTTGTATTGGAGACTGGCGAACCGCCCCGGCTCCGCACGGTTGCAATGCTAACACCGAATATAAATTTACCCACCGGGTATTTTTTGTTGTTCGTACATACGTAATGTATCAGTGCTCAAACTCGAATTATTTCATTTTCTGTTCATTAAAAAAAATTTAGACATGTTCAGTCGACAGATTGCATGAAAATTATGAGGGACAGTTAACAAATCACGTGGCAATTTGTGATGGAATAAACCGCGTCACTTGTCCCAAAAATTACTTATTATTTAATGCGACAGTCGTACGTAAATAGTAAGTACCTAACGTTCAAGTGTATCAGAAATAAAAATAAGTCTGATCACTATCTAGGAAAGATACTATTTATTGAATACAGGATAGAGATAATAACTTTTTTCTAATTTTTAGTAAGATTTTTGTTTGTTACGACCGGTTTCGGTTTATTAAACCTTTCTAAAGTAAACTAACGCAGTTTGACAAACAAATCCTTAAATATACAATAATATTGTCAATGTCATTTAGGTAGGTTAATTAAACTTGTAGCCAACCAATATGCCGACATCCTCAGCAACTTCTCCATGATAATTTCCTTAATTTTCTCAACTCTTTCACCGGTTGTTGATGTGCTGTGGCGTCCAGGGTGAGAATCAACATTCACATCTCAACCTTCTGTGAAAAGCTTGTACCACTTGTAAACATTGTTCTGACTCAGAGTACAATCACCGTATGCCACTGTCAACGTTTCAAATGTTGTTTATAACGGATCGCTTTTAAAAACCTTGTTTATCATCGATATTCGTGGTTTGAATTTTCTGTCGATCTCAAAACAACGTATATTTTAGACGCTCTGTATGGGAATGGTTTGTTTGTATCATTACGAGTTCTAATTGTAATTGCATTAGGGCAGAGAACACTGCATTTATGCTAGTATTTGGCTTCATAGCTTTTTCATGATTTATAAAGTGTATGATTGCCAAGAAAGTGAATAGCCACTGCATTTTTTCTTGAATCATGTAAAGAGGTGAAAGATATCCTTATCCTGAGTTTTCATGCGGGAAACTGTAATCAAAAATTTTATACATGTGTAGAAAAGGCAAAGTTTTCAGTTCATCCCGATAAATAACTGTATGAATTCAAAGCATTTTTCAAAAAAAAAAAAAAAATCTATTTGCAGTAACTTAATCGTATTCAATAATTTTGCTGTTGTTGACTTTCATGAATTAAATGAAGTTATTCAGCGCGATGATTATCCATTGCCGTATATCTCGTACATCCTTAGTAAGGTCGAAGAAGCTTCATATATCTTCACAGGATATATACAGATATACTTTATACATAGATGTACTTTAGAATGTACAATGGTTAAATAAAGATATTTGCTTTTACTTTTCCACTACTGAAATATTCTTTCTGTTTCAGGTATGGGGGTGCCATGGCTAGCCCAGGTGCGTTGCTTGCACTTGGCCATATTCGGCTTAGCTCTTCTACCTCTGTTCCTGTGCATCTCATACCTCAACTCCAATCAGCTCGACACGACGGCATCTCCAATTAAAAAATATGAATTAAGACTGATTCCAAGTAATGTCAGTCAATCCGAGAAGCAATCTCCAGCCGCTCGACATGTTAGCGAAACGTCGGAGGTGTCTGCACCTCCCGCCCCTCCACACATCGTGAACGGTACCTCCAGTAGTGGCAATAGCCAGGGACCAGACCTGACCAAGGGAATAGCTGCTGAAATAATCTACGAATCTGGACACGTAGACCTGAATTCTCAAATATGTCCCAATCTAGGCAAAAACCTGAAGCTTCTGATTGCCGTGACCTCAGCCCCCAGTCACGACACCGCCCGATTAGCAGTGAGAGAAACGTGGGGCCACTTCGCCATAAGAAAAGACATAGCCATAGCTTTCATGTTAGGAGCCACATCGAATCAAACGCTTAATGACAAAATAGAACAAGAACAAGAAATTTACGGTGATATTATAAGAGGAAAGTTCGTTGATACATACGACAATCTCACACTGAAAACCATATCAATGTTGGAATGGGTGGATAATTTCTGTTCGAAAGCTCAATTCGTACTTAAAACGGATGACGACATGTTCATTAACGTGTCCCGTCTTCTTGCCTTCATCGCAAAACATAAGCCTGAACAAAGAGCAATATACGGCCGGTTAGCCAGCAAATGGAAGCCTGTTAGGAACAAAAAGTCGAAGTATTATATATCTCTGCAGCAATATAAGCCGCCAGTATTTCCTGACTTTACTACTGGCCCTGCCTATTTATTCCCAGCTCAAATATCCAAAGAACTCTATGTAGCATCTTTAAATTATACCTATTTCAAATTGGAGGATGTGTTTGTGACAGGAATTGTCGCAAATGGATTGAAAATAAAACGAGTACATGCTCCAGAATTTTTGAACAAACGGATTTCATTCACACCTTGTAACATCCAGAAGGAAATCAGTATACATATGGTCAAAAGTGCCGAACAGTACGACTTATGGAAAAAACTACATGATGTAGCCAAGTGTAAAAAATAAATGTGATGGTTTTCATATTCAAAACCAGTATGAACTTGTGATTAGTTTTTATTGAATTGCTTCATCAAATAAACAGTATTTTTTATGAAAGTTAAATTATTGTCGTTATATAACGATATTAACAAAAAATACTTAATACAATGCAAATATATAATGTTACTATGAACAAATATATAAATACAAACATATATAAGATGCCATCTAGTGGGATCAACACAAAGCTAGAATCCCACTCGTCAAAGGTAAATGACAGTCCCAACATAGATGTGGTAATCTTAGATAACTAGTGCCGAAAGGAAATCATTTTCTCTCTCTCTGCAGTTTTCACTGCAAACCGGCAACTAGATGATGGCATAGCCAGTACCGCAGTGGCGTACAAGTGGAAGATGTCCTCACTCGAAAATATTAAAAAATACATTATCTCCTAGCTGCGATACACAACAGAAATAGTCGATTTGAAATATATTTTTCTTGTTCGTTATTAATGAAATTGAAATTATTCAATTGTAGACATTTTAAAAACTGCCCTTCAAATCGCAGCATTACAACAGCAAATATTTTTGCGCACATAAAATCATATATACACGCCACTGACTTATAGTCGATTGTATACTATTGAGAAATCTGTTTTTCCATTAACCTCCTGTCGCCTCCTTGCGAACGACAACACTCAAAAGTCGAAAACTTGACTATGGTGGAGATGACATCCACATGGAGGAACAGACTTATTGATGAAGAAAGTGTATTTATTATGCAAGTCATATAATATGCTTGACATTCGAAAAGTTCATAAAGAACTCCAAGCTCGATAACCTAGCTGCTAGACTCAATTGCCTATATAAATAATGATAACCAATATATATTCGAGCCTGAATGGAAGACGAAACTGCTCCACTCTCACTGTCTGATCTATAAATTTACACAAAGTTGTACTTATGTGTCCCTATATCAACGCTACATTCGATCTTCTCTTCAACAACGAAACTAAAACGCTTGAGTGTACGTTTTGAATAGAATCAATAAACAATCACAAACAAGTAAGAGTGCAAAATATTACATAACCTCATAGGACTAGTAATATCAAAAATAGGAATAAGTCGCTAATATTTTGTTGTATTCCTTAAAAGGAACTGTTTTCATTAACGCAACTCTTTGGAGTAGATTCAATAGATTTCTCCTTCTGCACTTAGACTTCCTAATAACTTGATTATTTTTCAGATTGTACAAGGCTGTTAAACCCAAAAAAACGACAGTTGTCTTCCTTAAGCTAAGTGCCTTACGCCAACCTAATTCTAAACTAAAATCTATTAAATCCTTCGGATCTGCATGGTAAATTTCTTCATTTGGAGTGCGCTTAGCATAACCATAGGAATACATTTTATTCAACACCAAAGCTGAAACAAAACAAGCACAAATTAATTTTGGAAAAGTTTCACTCCATGGAGCTACCCACTGAAAATAGAAAAAGAAAAGAAAGTAAGGCCCTTGTATGAAAACAATCCTTGTGTTCCTGCGACTTATGCTAGCAAAGGAAACACTAAAGACCAGTTTCAGATGTCTCTTGGCTTTAAATGATCAAGATCATCTAACTTGCCTTCTCAGATTGTATTATTGGAATGAATTACTATTTCAGATACCACCAACATACACGTAAAAATAAGGTTCTGTTACATTTTTCATTTTATAAAGCTGATCTTTTATTTGTGTTAATTATATATGCTCACTTATTATTCTGTCGTTTCATCCTTGATTTTGTTTTTCATGTGAATCTCTTCTGTAACAGTATTTTGATGTTTTTTAATGAAAATATCTCAAGTTTTTCATTTATTTATGCTTTTATTTGATAGAAGTCTACCCATTTTTCTTTATCAACAAATTAACCATCTGCATTGCAGAATATTCAACCACAGGTGGACTGTTTTAACAATAAGTCACGAGATACGTACATTTGATTAGTGATTTTTCATGTTGGTACACTCGTCTCAAACATATGTTCACAGCTGTTCAGCATATTCAGTTTATTGGTGAGAGGCATAAAAGTTAGAAGTCTTTTGCGTCTGTTCCCTGTATTAATTAAAAAATGTGTCTTCCTGGATGTTTGTCATATCGTTCTGGACATAATGATGGGCTATCTCCAAAATAGTTGCCTACTGTGATAATGCCTCCCATTCGCATAAAACCGAACATGTGTTGCTTTGAGGCATTGCCTGCATGGTCTCCGTTGTACAGCCCTATTTTGTTCAAGTGTCCTCTCAATGTACTGTATCCAGTGAGTAGCTGTTTCCTGCTCTGTTGAAACAATTCTTCAGGTTTTTTCTCAGTTAGTTCTTTTATGAAGGTTTCCTCCTGTGTGTGTCCATTGGAACATTCTCTGAACTAGTCCCATTTCTATGATTATGGTTTATTTTTCATACGTACTTGCCATGTTCCACTGAAGATGATTAAAACTCAATTTGAACTCATTCAGAAGAAGTACTTCATTAAAATACTGGTTCTGGTTTTCATCTTGAAATATTTCATTGTTTCCTATGATTTTCCACATTTTCAAGCCGATCTGCAAACTACAAGTTATTATGTGCACAACATAAAAAAATACATTCAAACAAGTTTGTTGCTCCTCAATATTAACACCAGTGTTGTATTTTTCTTTTACTGTTGAAAAGTAATTCTTTCTTCCACATCGATTAGTTGAACGCAATTTTGGCAAAGGTTTTGTTCATCAATTGAGATAAGCTGCTTCTTCATCCGTTCAGTGTTTATCGACTGAGTCGTACAAGGAATCGCACATCAATTATTAGCTTCCACAAGTTTCTACATTTGAGAGTTGCTTTTCGATGTGATAACAACAGCTTGTTGAATGAAAATCCTATTTGAACCTCATTTCCGCACCAAAAAGTTCACAGATTTCATTCATGTTTCCATCGATTGCAGTTCCATCTGATAATGCTATGTCTTATGTTGTTTTTTCTCTAATTTTTCTACCCTATTTCCGAGACGTTGCTTTTTTTGACAGATAAACGAAGTTAAGTTTGCTCTGTTTGCTCTGCTCTGCTCTTCCAACAGTAGTAGATTTTTAAAAAAAGATATTTTCCGGGTTCGATAGCTGTGATCTGAAACTTTTCATGCAGACTCTGTGTTTAACTGCACTATAATAAATTTACTCCAGTTTATATTTCACAAGTCCGTGTGTAGATTTTCAAATATTTATAGAATCCTAATAAGGAATACGAAAAATCTAAAGCACGAAATTACAATTCGAATATTTTCACGATAATTATCGCGAAGGTGAACAAATGGTATTTGATTCATTTTACAAAAAAGGTGGAGAGAACTATATATTCTGAACATATTAAAAAAACACTTCAATATGAGATTTCCACTTGAAAATTTACAAAACCGTGACAATATCATCTTCGAGCATCACAACACTGTTTGAACAAATTCTGTGTCATGTTTTTATAGTAATTTCAATCATTATGACTATTACCCGACAAATTTCTTGATGATAAATTCATTACCTAAACTATTTACCTAGCTAGGAACAACTAATGAGACTGGAGAATAATGCATAACAATTTTTACCGGGCCATCATTTTACCTACTTGAAAAATTCTATACCAATTTCCTCATTGCAAACTGGACTCAATGAAGGTGAACAGTTCAATTCTAATTGATCATTGAGCAATAATCCCGAATTCTTACATCTATTAATTTTTTAAATATTCCAAAAGGTTGAGTTTGGAACCTCTCTCTTCTATGTTCTTTTATTCCTTTGAAAAAATTGTTTCCATTTTGTCCGATATAAAATTTTGGACAAGAACCACACGTCAACTTCTACACTTCTGGATCTATTCAACACTAGAGTCTTATCTATATTGTTTTTAACGAATTTACTTAAATTATCATTCGTCACCTATTGAGAGACAAAAGTATTCTCCACTTTAAAAACAAGGAACAGTAAAGACAGAGGACTATGTATATCGCCTCATCTCCTTTGGGTGTCTACCCCGATTGTAGACGAAACGCCAGGCATAAAAAGTTGCCAGATCATGGCCAGCAAATCCGAAAAATAGCTATCACACAGTTGTCTCCGGCAGTGAAACTTACACTCTTTAAACCTACAAGCAATATCTTACTGAGAATGTCCCTTACCTTTCCATTTCTCTACTGAGAGATTCATGTCTTCAATACTCTGATCATAAGGCGCTGAAGTGGGTTCGTCATTAGGATCAGCATAAGCCGTTAAATATGGATGGGCCAGAGCTTGTTCGGCAGTTATTCGACGTTCGCTGTCAAGTTCCAACATCAGTCCAAGTAAGTCTATTGCTAAAGGATTTGCACCCCCTAAATACTGATTCAAGTCTTTTTTAGGCAGTGTTGGAAGAGACTTGATATAGCTTCGTGCCTAAAAAAGAAATTGAGATAAGTAAGAAGCAATACTGTCAAAGTGACTATTTCTCAAATTTCGATAATATAAATACCCCTTCAATAAATGTCTGGGAATTTCCCGTTATTATACTACCAATTTATCTATTCGGCCAAAGCGGCAACTTCTTTTGTGCTCAGTCAAGCGCGTTTTAACGCTTGTTTTCTATTGTTATTTTTACATAATATATTTATTGAGTATAAAATAACTATGTAAAATTTTTATCAACATATATTTTGGTAAAACCATACTTGGTCGTAATAATGAAGAATTAATTTAAGGCGAATATATAATGGAAAGATATTTACGTTTACTTAATATTCATAAATTCATGTACTTATATTTGTAGCTGTTCAGCTGGACTTAATATTGTTCTGTCCATATACTCTGCTCCGGTGTTTAAGCATTATTTTATAGTTTATATTTGTTAATTGTCCCTTATACATGTTTTACTTTACTAGACTTTGCCAATAAGATGTTTATATCTTGGGCAATAAAGCATATTTTGATTTGATTTTGATTTGAATTACTCACAGCTTTATCCCCCGAACACTGCAGGGATATGGAGAGTCGAAATGTCATTTTTTCGTTATGTTAGTATACATGCCCCTGAAGTATAATAACATTTTCAGCTGTATTCATTGTTTAATTCGTTTATGACAGACACTAAGATAAGACGTATTTTTAAAGCTCGTCAAGTTTCGTTTGTTAAAATAAATGCATCAAAGAATTTGTACCAATTGTGAAATGTTAACCAAGGTCTATGGTGAGTTTGTTATTCATCGGCGAATTGAAGTTGCTCAGGAGTCACTAAATGTAGAATTACTGAAACGTGTTATAACAGTTGATGAAACATAGTTTTATAGATATGATGTCGCAACTAAGGTTCAATCGTCTAGTGGAGGCCCTCTGGCTGACCAAGACCAAAAAAGTGCGTCAAATGTGAAGGTTATACTCACTGTGTTCAATTTCAATGACATAGTGCATCATAAATTCTTGTCAAGAGGTCAAACAGTCAATAAGGAGTACTACCTACAGGTTCAATGCTATTAGTGTGAAACAATCAAATGGAAAAAACAATTCTTGGCTTTTGCACCACGATAATTTTTGGCATAAAATAATACTGTAACGATGCCCCCGCCTCCATATTCGCCAGACATAGCTCCTTGTGACTTTTTCCTATTTCTAAAAATAAAGATAACCTTGAAGGGCAGTCGTTTTACAAGCAAACATGACATCGAAAGCGCATCACTGAAAGGACTAAATACCCCAAAGTTTGAGTTGTGTTTCGAGGATTGGAAGAAGCGCTGGCAAAAGTGCATTATATCTAATAAGGGCTATTTTGAAAGCAACAACATTACTGCAGAAAAATAAAAATTTTTTTTCAACAAACGAAAATTTCCATTATTTTCTGAACATGCCTGTGTATAGGTATTTACACAGTAACGTATTAGGAACTTCATTCAAAAGATTTAACTTCTGTATGAAGTCCTGCATTACATTTCGTGTTTTTTTTTATCGAAATAGGTAAAAATATCACAAAAATGTAAAATTTCTGATACCTCTACAAAAATGAATTTCATCTGATCTCTTCTGAAAAATATTTCCCTTTCAATTTGAATATTAGTTAAAAAACTTTATACATACACTTTCGGAAGTAATTTTCTTCATAAATTCATCAATTTAAATTCTTATTCCTTTTGGCCAAGGTTGTATGTATTTATGCATTTCACTGGAATAAAGTTATTACTATTATTATTCTATGATTCTTATAATTTTTATTGCTATCACTATTTCTCAGTTGTCAAATTATATGATTAAAGCGAAAACTTTGAAAAAGGATACGATCTGTTCCAGGAAACAGTGTTTTTCCTGTTAGTAATTCTGCCATGATGCAGCCAACAGACCAAATATCAACCGTTTGGTTATAGTGCATCCAATTCAACATAATTTCAGGAGCTCTATACCATCTAGTTGCCACATATCCAGTCATTTCTGTTTCAGTTGGCCTGGCCAAACCAAAATCTAATATTTTCAATTCGCAGTCTTCATTCACAGCTATATTCGATGGTTTCAAATCCTGAAAAGATAATCAACAGTAATAGACACCTTTCAAATTTTTTACACATTCTTCATCTAAAATCAATTTGGAACACAAAAACAATCAACACAAATGTATCAATCCACTTCTTTCAGCAGAAGTCTCATCGAAACAGATTTTTTGACAATTACTTACTCGATGAATTACCCCTGCAGAGTGTATGTATTTTAATCCCCTTAAAATCTGATACACTAAGAATTGAACATGATCATCAGTCAGTTTCTGGGTTCGTATTATATTATTCAAATCAGCTCCCATTAGATGTGTAACTAAATATATCTGCAATGATGGATACAATTATTCGAATTTTTTACCAGAAAATGGAACTAGAATTTAATTTGATGAATAATATTCCAAAAACCAACCTGACTATTATCATGTTTTGGATAAAATACATCTAATAATCCAATAACATTTTCATGTCTCATATGTTTGAGCAGTTTCAGTTCTCTATATGTTCTTTTCGCATGAACGGCTGTCTGAAAAGGACGGGCTAGTTTCTTTATTGCTACTTTTTTCTTTGTTACTACATCCAGTGCTGAACTGAAAAAAAAATCAAGATCAATTCTGTCCCAACAAGGCATGAACATTGTTCTGACAACTGTATGTGGTCTGTTCGACACTACCTCAAATTGGGTCGTAAACATTTCAAATATTATGAAAGAAATTTGCAGTCGTAGTATCAAACTACTTGCATTTCTGTCACTGAAAAAAACCAAAGCTATTGGTGTAGACTGAATTTCCACTTAAATAATCAAAAGTATCAGCATATTAGTTGCTGAGCTGATTCATTCAAAGCTGACTTTCCTCCTTAGTTTGAATGTTGTTTCTCAATGTCAGCATGGATTATTTCCGGGAAAATTGTTGAAAGGCCTTTTTTTTTTCTCTTCGAATGATAATTTAGATACCGGAAAATTTGCCGGGAATCTTATTCAAATGACACATTATTGTGAGATTTTCACTGGACAGTTTACATAACCGTGCCATTTTGTATCGGCTAATCACATGTGTTGGGAATCTATTCTTCAATATGACAAAGGGGTTTGATGTCATCAACATAGAATTTGTCCAACATTATCCTCAATGAGATTCGGAGGAACTATCTGGAAATGGTTATCATCATATCTCCAGTCCAGAAAAAATATGTACAGGTTCAAATTGAAAAAACTACTCTTTAAAAAAATTAATAAAATAGGTTTTTTTTTCTAGAATTGATTTCTCAATAACATACTTTCCTAATATATTTAGGCATTTGAGTCTCAATAACATTTGTTGTATGACCATTAATACAATTTCAATTAGATATGTTAGTGGTATTTATGAATATTTCTACAAATTATGAGGAGAGAAAAAGTTCTTGATGCAGTTTGAGACAGTTCGAAAATAATATCTATTTACATTCACCTATTATAGATGGAAAAAAATTAGGTGAAGGTTTACCTATAATTATTAACATTTGCATATATTCATAACCAAAGGACAAGACATATTTTCTATAAAGAAAAACTGAAAAAGAAACCGAGTTATTTCTATGAAACTAAGATATTTTTTCAACAATTCAATTATTAAAAACACATGTAAATTCACCTACCAAACTTGTCCGTATGCACCTGACCCAACTGCTGATAGTGACTGATATCTCTCAGGAACTTCCCAAACTGTTTTCGTTACTTCTACTTTGTGAAAATTCGACATTTTCAGATGGATTGTATATTTTCCTTTCCTGAATTTCAATAATTATCAGCATGAGCACTACTTAAATACATCAAACTCTTTTACTAAATATGAGGAGTGACAGAGATAGTTTTTTGAAGGTAATCTCCTTGTAGTGGGCGAAACAGACAAGGATGGAAATATCGACATGCGTTTTTATTAATAAGTAAATAGACGAAAAAAAATTGTTACAGATAGGTGTACTCTGAGTGACAATTTCGAATTTCGACTGTGGTTTCGATATATTCTTTTTTTATAGGAATATGAATGTCACTCATTTTTTTTCCATTCCTCTCAACACAATAAAGACAAAACTGTTTGCTCACTGGAGTCTGTGATTTTTTTTTAATTTTCAAAGTGTACTTTCAGATCGAAATTTGCTCCCGAGCAAAAAACCAGCTCTGTGTTGGTTGAGTTGGCGGGAATGGTACGCATCGGTCGTATAAACAGAAAATGTTTATGGTTGTATATTAAGAATAGGTTTCTCTTAATTCTCAAAAGTAATGGAGGTAAGATACTTTTGGCAGTCTTGTTTTTTAAAATACTCGATTCAAACCACTAGAGTAATATTTTGTCATAGCATCGAAAAGATAACGTTTAAAAACCGACGGAACAAGAAAGAAGGTTGTCAATTTGTCTACAGTGTTATCTGATGTCTGTTAATGAAGAGTTTCTCTTATTATAATTTTTTATGTGATGTAATTGGCCTATAATTGAATAAGGTAGTCAAGTAACACTTTATTGTGAGATTTTTCACTGGAAAGTTTACAAAACCGCAAAAAACCGCAACACGTGTGTTGCGTTTGAATTCTGTGGTTTGCTAATATTTGGAATCATCGGATCTACGGTTGACGTGATAATGACAGCAATAGGTGAGAACTGTCTGAGGTGAGAACCGTATGAATTGCCATCTGAAATTACATGAAAAATTATTGCCTCTCAAATTTCAACTATTTCACTCAGTTTGTTTGAAGGATGGCGTAATCTATGTATACCAATCGTTTTTTCTGATAATTCTGCTTGATTATACATTGAAAATTTGAAGTACATGTACTTCATGTACATGTACATGTACAGCAGCGTTTGTCATTTTTCTCAGATGTGTCTGAAAATATGAAGAATTTGTTAGTATTTATGACAAATAAATCTTTAAGAAAATGTTTTTTTACCAATAATAGTAATGTATCACTTGTTGAAACCAATCACTGTACCGTTTCTTGCCTGATTCCTGGTGAACTTTGAAAGCTTGTTGGACGCTGAAAGACAACGAACACAAGAAGAAAATGGTAAAAGGATAATAAATTTGCTGTGGAAGAGACTAAAAAGTCGACAAGGACTACTTCGTCGTAACTGGGTAATTGCGTAGAAGCCAAACCCAAAAGCCAATCAGAACAATAAAAAAGAAGAATTCTGTGGTTGGGTCCGTTAGTCCGTTAGGTGATCAGGGTGGTGTGTATCGATCTAGTGATATAATTGAAGTGACATGTAATGTAAATGTAAATGTCAAAGACAAGTCCAGATTTTGTTCTAATGCCTGTTTGCCTGTGCCTTCCTGCAATCTGCGTTTGTGGTACTGTGGTTTTGTTGTTTTCAGTAATGGCGATGTGAACCTGACATTTAGGTAAACAGGTGACCAGTTCAAGTACAGTAATTGATCTGTAGACGATTTTGTAATAACAAGACGGATATATGTTTTTGCAGACGTTTTTGAAGTAATTTAATAATATTTACAGAAAATGGAAGAAACAGTGACAAGTTCACAGGGTGGAGAATCTGATATGGATTGTTCTGACAATGAATTTTATGATGAATATTATTATAATATGACTGATGATATCGACATTGAGCAAATAGATCCTCGGAAAATTGATCCTGAATATTTTGAATGTAGTTGTCTCTTTGAAGAACAGGTAGACAGACTTTTGAATGAAACTGTTGAAACTCTTAGTAATGTTTTGCAAATATCTCCTTCTTTGTCAAAAGTAAGTTGATAAGGAACCGTAATGATATCATTCCAATTATACATTACATTCAGGTCCTCCTGCACAGTCATCATTGGAATGTAAATGAGGTAACGAGAAAATTTAATGAAGATCCTGCCCAAACCTTGATTTTATCACGAATCGAACCAGCTACAGCTCCGAATAGCTTGCTTTTGACTAGATTCAACAACTGCCCTGTATGTGTAACAACTCAGCCTATAGATAGATTTTATAGTTTATCATGTTCCCACATGTTTTGTAAGGATTGCTGGACTATGCACTTTGAAGTACAAATTAATCAGGTATGTTGTATCGTAGCTATTCTTCAACTATTTAGTAAATATTTTTATTAATAACTTGCATTAGTTTTTGTCAAATTTTCAGTTAGTCTCGAGTATTTTTGCTCACTGATCACTAATCCGAAGTTAAATCTTGTTGCCCTGACCTACTTTCAAAGATACGGCCAGTCAAAAGTGGAAACTTGAAACCTTCCTCTCTTTCAAGAGCTCACTTTCAGTGATCAAATGAGACCTTCTTTATGATTATTTGCAATGGACCTCTATTCACCCAATTGAAATGTTTTTTGTTGTGGACCCCTTCACAGAATAAAAAACTTCAACTTGAATAAAATAACCACTGTGAAGGCAGCCACTGCGCCAAGCAACCATTAATTGTTGAAATTCATGGCTAGGCCTGAACATTTGTCTTTTAGAACATTAATTTTATGACTCTTCATGAAAATTTGTATTTATGGGCATTCGTTGCTAGCTACGAAATCATTTAACAAAATTGATATTTCACCTACAGCCGTGAATAAAATAATAGAAATTATTGCGACCCCCTTTTATCATTTTGATTTAAAAATCATTCTTATAAAAAATTCACGCTGATAGGGATTTTTCCACATGAAACATAAGTATTCGGCATATTCTATAATACCTATATGTTCCTTAAATGCACCTTGAATACAAATTTTCATGGCTAGCCATGATTATCACACGTTAAAAGTTAAGACCTCGTTAATCCTTAGCTCGCACAAGTTTCTCAACTTCTGAGAGTTGTCGTTCGTAGGGGTGCGACAGCTGGTTAACGGAAAAACAGATTTTTTTAAACAGAATAGTCATTCAAATTCGACAACTATTCAGTGCTGTACAAGAATTGAAATTTTTCAGGGGATATCAACTGGTATTTCTTGCATGGCTCGGGATTGCATAATCTTGGCACCAGAAGATTTTGTATTGAAACACTTGCAACGTCCAACTATGAGAGAAAAATATCAACAATTCTCGTTTCAAGATTATGTAAAATCTCATCCTGAGCTGAGGTTCTGCCCAGGTCCGAATTGTTCTATTGTTGTTCATAGTCAAGAAGTAAAGGCGAAAAGGGCCAGTTGCAATCAATGCAAAACCGTTTTTTGTTTCAGGTAAGTGTCTAATACTCTTGTTTTGATAATGTTTGTTTTGATTACGTGGAATGTTTTTGTTTATAATGTTTCTCAGAACTGATTAAACTATCAAAACACGTATATTAAATTTTATGTATAACGAAGTTATATTTTATGACTACCAATTGGTTGTACGCTTTATTTACACTGTTGGTAAGAAACCTAATAGGGTGAAATGCTATGCATTTGATGATGATACCACTTCAGTTTATGCACCTAGATGATTAAAAGAATTGAAAACAAAATTCTTGAATATTCAATAAAAAATAAACTGCAGCTCATTGCAAAGAAAATCACCTACTTACTTTTGAAGCAGAAAAATATGAGAGAAATGGAAATGAAACTTGTTGGTAGATCATTATTCGTTTACCATTAAAAAAATTTGAATTGAATCAAGTTATAGATTTATAAGATAAAAGTCACAAGTCTACTATTTCAACAATAATATGTATTTTAAGGACAAAATAATCATTAAAATTGCCACAACAATTTTTCAGAATGGCCTGTGTATGAAATAGTGTTTGTCTACCAGGAGTATTTCAATATTAGTTGCATTATTGGTCATGGAAGTAGTTTCATACATATGCAACATACAATCTCAATACATACATACATACATACAATCTCAAACTGAACAATAACAAGACACAAATCATATCTTCCACCCATAACAGCACAAATAATACTTTTAGTGATGGTGTATCTATTTTAGAACCCATGAACCAATTTTCCTTTCTTGGAATTATAATTGACTCAAAGCTGGACTGGAAGAGCCACATATAGATAAGTGGCAACACAAATGACAAGGTACTGCTATGCCTTGAAAATAATTACACAAAATATATCCACTGAGGCTGTGATGTTAGCATATAATAGTTATATTCAGAGTCACATCAGATATGGCATTATATTCTTGGGGAATGTCTGCACATACACAAAAAATATTCATATTGCAAAAACGGTGTCTCAGAAACATATTCGACCTTTCTCAGAGAGAAAGCTGTAAAAAAATATTTGTAGAGAAAAAACTATCAACACTAACAGGTCTTTATATTTATGAATCTGTGGTATTCGTCAAAGAAAATATATCTCTCTTCGCAACTCATAATAGGAACCATACCCACAACACACGAAACAAAAATAACCTTTTGAATATAAAGACACATTTGACCTATCTTCAAAAAAAAATTACCTTTTTCAATCATTAATATTTATAACAAGGTACCTATATACATTAGAACTTTGTCTTCTATGATGATGAAAAATAAAATGAAAACTTTGCTTCTCTCCAAAGCTTATTCGCTGGAAGAATTTTTCACAGATGATTTTAACTGATGTTGTTCGCGTTGAATATTTCATGTTGTATCATTCTGCATTGTGCTGTAGTTTAGTCTCTTTTGAACCCTACATATAGATGTATATGTTCGTGTTCTGAATCTAATATAACAATATTACATTAAGTATATTGACTGTGATAACCTTGTTATTCATACATCTGTGTATGAATAATATTCTTAACCAATATTAATGATATTGCCTCATGGTTTTCTACTACTTCTTTAATATCTACTGTAATTGACATGTTCTACACCTGAAAAGGTTTTTTATTACAAAGAACTAATAAAGGATATTTATCTATCTATCTATCTATGATTGGATGGGGCTCTTAACCCCCATCAATTGAATATTTGAGGAATAATGAGCTACTCACAAAAATTAATTTGAATTTTGTGTAATTTCAAATCTTCTGTTACACAATAATGGTTCCTTTGTAGATGTGGATGTGATTATCATGCTCCTACTGAATGCCAAGTTATAAAGAAATGGCTGACAAAATGTGCAGATGATAGCGAGACCGCAAATTACATAAGTGCACACACCAAAGACTGTCCAAAGTGCCACATATGTATTGAAAAAAATGGCGGCTGCAACCACATGCAATGCTACAACTGTAAACACGATTTTTGTTGGATGTGTCTGGGAGATTGGAAATCGCACGGATCCGAATATTACGAGTGTTCAAGATACAGAGAGAATCCCAACATTGCTCATGAGTCTGTGCATGCTCAGGTAAGCTGTTACAGTAAATACATATTATCAAATATGATGGATAACAAATACAGGAGATACAAAAATGATCCATAACTTTTTGTTGACATAGTTTTAGATTGAACAAGAATTCAATGGATTATGTTATAAAATGAACTCCAAAGATAACTAATGATTGTAACAGCGATTTTCAAAGTAAGACCTATACATGAAATGCAATAACTTGTGTTAATTGAATCTTAATGGGTCTCGTAATGACTTTTGCTGGTTCATCATCAAGAAAAATTATTGAGTTTGTCTCAAAATTTGTGATGGTCTATATACATTTCTTTTAAATAATACTTTCTAAGGAATTGTTTGTTAGTGAATGTCTCTTTAATGGCAGTTCTAGGGAAGACAATATATTGAAAAAACATGAAACTTTGCTAGTTATCTGCAGGAATATAAAGTTAATTTTGTGAGATATCACGTTGTCATGTGAATTGTTCACGTATTCCGTTGAAATATTGTAAATTTTATAAAAAATACAGGCAAGAGTTGTGAAACTTAGGCAACCATTTTATCGAGTTTAACATATCCCTTATTGGAGTGAGTTTAGCACAAGATAAAGTCATATTTCACGATTTTGCAATTTTTTGAGTTACAACTCTCATTTTGATTCAGCAAATATAATATTGTAAAACTATAGTAGTTTCAAAGTATAGTTTATTAAATGTTAATATACGTTACTTTTCAAATATTTAAATAGAAAATTAATTCTTCCACCTTATAACAATTATTTTTATGTGCGATGTGAAAATTATATCAATAAAGTTAGTGATATTTTCTGCTGGAGTTTATATCAGACAAAACTGAAAATATCTAAGAGTTGTAGCTGATATCTCATCAAAATGGTAGAGAAATTTCAATACGAGGGTCATTTCTCTGAGTCAAGTTTTGTAATGGAGTTAAGAAACTCCATTTATGGATATAGATGTATAACAAACTGAAATATGAACATTTTTGTTGCTCTCTTACATAATCATCCTTAACAATAAAACATTTGAAACCTGCTTTTGATTCCTATCATCATAGAACTATGCTGCCTGAACGTTGAACCAGTAGAACTTTTTAACGTGGTATTTTCCAAGTGCTTTCCTCCAAGAATTTTTTTTTTTTTTTAATTCAAAATCTGATGGTCAGGGCTATATGGTGAATCCAGTAATATCCAATGGAAATTGTCCAGTTGCCGTCCAGATTGTTCTTCATCATGAATATTTGTTCGTGATGCTTTCTTTGATCGTTGGTCTGTTTTCAGTAGTAGTTCCAATTAGTTCATTTATTAAAAACCTTGAGTGTAGATCACCCTCAAAAAAATGATCGTAACCTTATTACTCACTCTCAATAAAGGTAGCAATCACTTTTTGAAATTGGTGGGTTGCTTTATGAAACTTTTTCACAGCATAGATGACAAGTTAAAAGTGTAGAAATAAATATATGAATACTTTTTCAGGCAAGGGAGGCACTGAAAAAATATTTGCATTACTACGAAAGATGGGAGAATCATTCAAAGTCATTGAAGTTGGAAGAACAGACTTTGGAAAAACTGAGAACAAGAATAAACCATAAAGTGATGTCAGGATTAGGTACTTGGATAGATTGGCAATATTTATTCACTGCTGCCAATCTGCTAGCAAAATGTCGATATACCTTACAATATACATATCCATATGCTTATTATATGGATGCTGGCTCTAGAAAAGAACTGTTCGAGTACCAACAAGCTCAACTGGAGGCCGAAATTGAAAATTTGTCCTGGAAAATCGAGAGAGCAGAGACGACTGATAGAGGCGACTTGGAAAATCAAATGGACATAGCAGAAAAACGGCGTATTACTCTTTTAAAAGACTTTTTAGATGTGTGATATTTTGTATAGATTTACTTTATTTATTGAATTTTCTATTCGCAGTGTTGCCAACGTTTCAGCTCATCTCAACAATTTGACTGTGATGATAGCTCCACCATTTATGTGTCTCGATAACACTGGAAAACCAAAGTGAAGCTTGTCGAGAAATCCCCGAAATTTTGACGCAGCTTTACATATCATTTTAATCATGAATTGCTATTTCAATTCCAAAAACTTTTTATTCCATTATTTTTGGGAGTTTTATAAAATCTCATCGATAATCTTTGATTTGTTCACGGTTTCAATCGTCTTGTCTCACCGAACTATTAAATAGATTCCAATAATAGTTATGTTTGAATATTTGGGATTAGTATCCTAGATACTGTTTATATAAAAGTTTTATTGTATCTGGATACTTTTGAAAAATATTGAAATATAACGAAATATATATAGATCCATTGTCAGATTTGAATTAGGCAAAATCTCTCGCTACATCTAAACATGAAGCCATTAGGCTTTACAGAGAATAAACTCTTGAACATTGCAGGTTTCAACTTAAAATGGGCAGGTTCATTTGATAAAAAATGGCATTCAGGTGAGGTCTTTCCACTTTTTCGTATTTGTAACAAATGTTAGGCTTCAATTTTAATCTTTTTTCACTTTGTAATCCATATTTTAATATATTGGTGACAAATTTTTGAAATTTAATTTTATCCACAGAGTTTTTGAATACTTTCGGTACTTATTATTATACTATTGTATTGAAGGGTTTTATGGCTTACAGTGTCACTACATACAATATATTTTTTATTTTAGATGCAGGATTTTTGGAATAAACATTGTGTAATTCTGTAGATATAGCATCAGAATTGTGCTTTATTAAATATACTTATATCTCTGTATGTTCATGTACAACAAACAATATGAAGTGCAAAACTAGCTATAAATGAATATAATTCTATTTTACCGGTAATATGGTATTCGTTCTGATTTATTTATAAAGAATTATATAGTATATTTTCTTCATTTTTTTGTTAAGATGCTCTGCCACAGTCCAATTTGAATGAGATCTTTTGCCTCTTCAGCTTAAGTGGTGCTAATGGGGTTAACATAAAAAGTTGTACAATAATAAATTCCCGAATTTTTATATATGTTTCAGTATTATTGTTTTTTTTATGATACCTCCATTAGATCGGCATGTTTTTGTGTAATATTTCGAAAAATAATAAAATAGTTATATTCTGGTCTGATTTTTTTTTAATACTATTACATATGACAACTTACATTTTTAGCAAAAATTATAGCCGATTCAAACACCAAACTTTTACTTCATCTCCTACTTCAATAATAATTGTTAAATTGGGTTATTTATAAACCAATATTAAAGGACAAGTAGCACATGTGCTGTAGATCTAAATTTGGGGTGTTTTAATTCAAACAATTTTTCTTGGAATCAGTTTTTTATCAGTCATCGTAAAATGTGGAATAATTGACATCTTGAGGTATTGGAATCTACTCTTGTGAAATTTAGTCTTGGTAATTTTTTGATGACTACAGCTCTTCAGTTTATATGTTTCAATTAACGTGATGTGCTAATAACTCCTTTGAAGTATTAAACAAAAATACCTGCTATCGGCTATACAGGCTGATCCAAATCAACCGCACATTATTGGTAAGTTTATTATAATTACGATCATTTTTTTCTTTTGGCAAATCAGCTAATTTTTTTTAATGGAAATATCTGTATTATTTCAACCTGGTGCAATGTGATATTCTAATAATTACAAAAGTTGATTATTTTTTTTCATGAAGTTAGTAATGAGGAATTCATGAGTGGTTGATAGAAGATTAAAAGCATTTCTAATATCTGATCATGACAACTTGGTTGTAAAACTCATCAAGGAGAGTGTATGATGTACCTAATTAATGTAAAACACAATTAATAGCTGTTCAAGTTTTCAAAGCAGTGTCCCTACTATAATTGACAAGCCGCTTCTGGATTATAATTAGCCTTTTTTATTGAAAAATAGGCAAATCCAAGTTTCAGACCCAGAGCCCATGTCTATATGGGTTATGTTTTTACTATTTAAAAATACAATAAAATAATAAAGAGGAAAGGTTCATTAAAAAAAACTATATAAAGGCAATATTTACAGTCTTAATGCAAAATAACAAACATAAAATTATCGGTAAAATATGAAATCACAGTTGTTGCACCAAATACGTTTCGAGAGCTGATTTGTAGGCTTCAATTCACAGTAGTTTCATATTACTGCGTAAATATATAATCTTGACTTGACCGCTCAGAAAGTATCTCACATCACCTGCACTAGTTCTGATCCAGTTCTAGCATTATACTTGTGCCATATCCTTCTACAGCGAATTTACCCTCTGTTCACAGTAAATACTCTGTTCTAGTGCTATAATAAGTCACTTCAAATGTGCTAAGTTCTATTGTTGAGTGAATCCTGTTTCCAGACAAGTTGTGAATGAAAACACAAGTCTAATGAGCTGCGAGTATATCCAGAATATTCTTTGGTTTGTAGAACAATGAAAAGGGAGTTTAAACATCTTCGGGATAGTGTCAATTTATTTATTTATTATAGGGAGTTTTATTTCATGCCAGAATCAAATGAGAGGTAGGTGTTTATTAAAAAGTGATAGAGAGCTTTTTTATGTGTAAATTCAATATTCTGTGGTGTAACTATTAGGTATGCCAACTGCTAGCAATTTTTTTTTACACAGATGATCAATGACAGTGGTTAGTTATATCTATTCTTCATTAGTAATACATTATTAGTCAATAAAGGCATAATAACACATATCATTCAAAAGATCTTTTATTGTTCTGAGATTTTTTTATTGTTCTGAGGGAAATACGGAATTTACTGCCATCTATTAGTTAAAAGCGTAGCTTAGGTGAAAACAGAATTCTATATACAATATAATACGGAATTTACTGCCATCTATTAGTTAAAAGCTTAGATTAGGTAAAACCAGAAAACAGAATTCTATATACAATATAATACGGAATTTACTGCCATCTATTAGTTAAAGCTTAGATAAGGTGAAACCAGAAAACAGAATTCTATACACAATATTTGACAGATAAGACCGACCGTGTCCCGTGTTCACCTGTAAAAAATATTCATTATCATTACTTTGGGAAAGAGAAATATCTTATATTCTTTCAGAAATGAATGAACTTCACTTGTTAATAGCCGTCTTAATAAACTTTTTCCCAGCTTCACATTCCGATGAAGTTTTGGGATGTGGAGGATTTTTAAAAAGCCATGTTCCAATTGATTTTTCAAAAGTTGAGGTTAAGTTGTAAGTGTGAACCATTTTTATCTAATCCCAATTATTCCTATATATTTGCTTCAGAATCACCAAGCAAGGTATAGTAAAGGACCGGACTACTGCTGCTCCAAATAATGGTTATTATTTTGTTCCACTTTACGATAAAGGCGAAATGCTTCTTGAACTTTCTCCTCCTCCGGGATGGAGTTTTAAACCCAAAAAGGTGGTTCTATCTATAGATGGAGTCAATGATATATGTAGTCAAGGAAAGGATATAAATTTCGTGTTTCAAGGGTTTGGCATAACAGGAAAGGTAAATATTTAGATAATAATACTAGAAAACAGTGCACCTCCAAACATTAAAGAATATATAATGTTAGTCAAAACCGGAACCCAATCACAACTCATTTATGATCCAATACCAGACAGCACTATTTCAACCAACCATAACTTAAATTAGTGCTGATATAGGCTAAATCACAAATGCATTGCTGGACTCAACTGTCCTTGTAGAACAAGCCTTTATAAGTAAGGGTGACGACAACTCCCCATACGAAAACGCCATCTATGGAGTTGAGAGGTAACTCGATTGTTGAATATCACAGATAAACGTGGCTTCCGAAGGCTGTCAGTTATAAAACCAAGGCAACAAAATTCTTTTTCCTTCTTCCAACTGGAAGGTATTCGATGAAATACATCAATGTGAAATATGTATTGTTGAATCAGATCCTTTTAGCTTTTCAATCAACATGAAACTTCCAACAAATTACTCTAAGACAGTTTATCCAAGCAGGCTTGTCGAAGTTGAACAATTTTGTAAAATATATCATTTGGGCTATTTTAGTAATCCTATGATAATAAATCAAAAATTCAATGTTTTTTATCAACATTTTTACTAATGTTACCTATAGTTACAAAGAATTACATCACACAGACAAAGACTAATTGAAATTAGTTGAAAATTAATCAGCAGTGTAGCAATTTCTCTCCAATAAATAAGGTTAAATCGTGACTTGAAACTGAGATATTGGGAGACATTAGTACATATATGAACATTGCACTGTTATGGAGCTACCAAATTTTTTTCAGGTAGAAAGCTTGGGTAGTCAGTTAACTGAAGAATCAAGCAGTAAAGGCCCTGAAGGTGTTACCGTTCAGTTGGAATCCAATGGGGAAATAAGAACAACATTAACTGATCAAAACGGGAACTTTTTTTTCACCCCTGTATTTCCAGGAAACCATAAAGTTTCTATTTCTCACCCAAAGTAAGTTTTGTCTTCCTTATAATCCTAAATTATTTTTTTTTCTTTATTTGGTAGATGGAAGATTTCAAAAAGGTTAGTTGATGTTGAAGTTGCTGAAAGTAATACGGAATTACCAAAAAATAGTCTGGTAATACAGGGATATGATGTGTCTGGAAGCGTTAAAAGTGAAAATGAACCTGTCAAAGGGGCTAGTATTCTTCTATTCTCAGAAGTAATGAATACATAATTGTATTTTGTACTTTCCTAAAAACATTTTTTCTAGAGTAAAAATGTATTGGTTGAGGGATGCATCAAGGAACCTTTGGCTGATTTTCAGATCAAAAACAAAGATAACATTATATGCCACGTTTTAACTGATGAAAATGGAAAATTTGTTTTTGATACATTGCCAAATGGTCATTATTATGCTGTAGCCCATTACAAAGGACAAAACATCTATTTTCAACCAGAACAAATCAAATTCACAGTAAATCATGACAGTTTAGATCTGCAACAGAGTTTTGAGGTAATGGCAATGCTGGTTTATATTTGTTCTCGAATTATCGTTTATTTTTTCAGATAATTGGTTTCAGCATTCCTGGGCGAGTGTTGAGGTCTAGAAATGTTCCATTAGCGGATGTTAAAGTGTTCTTGAACGGCCAAGAAATAGCTAGAACAGACGCTAAAGGATCATACAAACTGGAGAAAATGAAAGCTGGGACATACAAACTGAGAGCTGAAGCAGGCAAGTTTTTCATTCAGCTCTGAAACTCTTTTAGATTTGCGTAGGAGTTGCATTGTTATTGAAATGATGAGTAATATAAATGAGAGAAAGGGTTAAAAAAAATTGTTTCCTTTCAAAGGTGAATGTTTTACTGAATAAGAGTATTCTAATATAGGGAAATGACCAGTCTTTCCAGATAAAAGAATTGCTGCAGATATCTCTCACGTAATATGTCACCCCTCATCATTCATCTTTCGACATGGAGTTTAATAAGATGTCTTGGAGATAATATGTTAATTGAAAGTCGTTTCACTCTGATTTCACTTTCAGATGACGTGATCTTTGAGGAAATATTTGTTAGGATGAATCCAAACTTGCCAGAACTTCCCGATATCCTTCCTTCTGCTTTCAAAGTTTGTGGTTCCGTTATAAGCGATCATTCTCAAATCGTTACATTCAGCAAACTGGGAGGAACCAAATTCATACAAACTGAAACGTCTCCCAGTGGTGGTACTTTCTGCCAGTATCTATCTCCTGGAAAATACGAAGTGCAAGTTGTTGTGAGTGAAGAGGATAAACAAAAAGGATTGCAGTAAGTCCATTCTAAAATTATTGTTCAGATCATGAATAAATATATTAGTTCATATGGGTCTGGGATTTTCGGTGAATTTATCAAGTCTATTATCTCTTATGTAACTAGAGTAATGAAGTCTACATAGTATAGAATCGTGATGTTTGTTAATTACAATTACAAGTGAACTTTACTTTCGAACATTTTTTTTATTAGGTTCGTTCCAACCAGCGTCAGAAACAGTTTCTGACAGTCAGGATTCTGCGCAGTAATGTGATTGCGTTCCAACATGAGTTTCCAACCATTAGTAAACTATCAGTTTTCTGTTCCATCCAAGATTCAAACCTGTTCGAAATCTATCAGAATGGTTTGAGGATTATCTTATAACCATCAATCTGACGCATGCGTATTATTTAGAATTCGGTTAAAATTTGTCCAATCTTCGTGCTTTTGAAATATTTGAAACAAGTAGACTTTCTGGGACTGTAAACTTCTCTTCCGAATTTGATAAAGCTGTACTCACTCAAAAAATTAAACAGATTTGTTTTGTTTCACTTGGTTTGTAGAGAATTGAAAACAATCATCTTTAAAAAAAATGTTATCAGAAACGTCATGAATAGAATAGAATAGAATTTAATCATCTGTAAAAGCAGAACATAATATGTTACAAAATAATTTGGTACACAAATGTTTCTACTTCATTAGACTAGTCAACTAAAATCAGAATATATACCTATTTATAAGACTATTCTACATGTTAGAATATTTGCAAATTATGTTCATGAATATATCTCTTTTCCAGGTTCTTTCCACTGAAGCAGTTGATAGAAGTGACATCTGAAAAAGTAGGGAGCATCGTATTTTCGCAACTGAAGTCCAAAATCTCCGGAAAAGTTAAATGTATCAAGCAAGAAGACTGTGAAAATCTTACAGTAGTTTTGAGAACTGGAAAGGAGAACGAGAAGACTTTGAAAATAAAAGGTTAGTTTATTGAACATCGCATTGTTTCGATTTTTCATTATGTTCTTTTAAGGAGGAGCTTATTCTATAAGCGATATGTATCCAGGCACCTATGAAGTCTTTCTATTGTCAAATAAATTCTGTTGGAAAAATGACAAACAGACTATTATCGTTGACGCAGCAACAGTTGAAGTACCTCCCTTCATCCAAAATGGATATACCATCAATTTTGTGTCGACCCATGATACACAGGTGTAGTTTCAACAAAGATAATAACCAAAAATCTATATAAATTAGTCTGAGTGCTCACAGTTACCTCTAATATCTTTCCAGGTAACATTCGAACTTCCTGGTCAAAAACAATTAAAAACCTTGGACATTCAACAAGGCAGGTCCACGTTTTGCCTGGAAATACCTGGTGAATATTTGTTCACATTAGAAAGTTGTCATAACTACGATCCAAAAACTATCAGTTATAAAACGGATTCGGAAGTGAACGAAATATTTTTGTCCGCTCAAAAACATACACTCAAGCTAGCTATTCAGGCAGATTCAGATTTTGGGGATATCCAAGTGTCTGTCAAGATTCGTACAGATAAATCTGAGAGGAAGTTGAAATACCAAAATGGAATATACGAGCTGGATATTCTTCTAGAACCTACAGAAAAAGCAGTGGTGATTCCACAATCCGATACATTGTTTTTCACACCCCCCATATTATCAGTTGAGGGTGGCGAGGATTGCGAAAACGTTGGAGTGAAATTTATAGCTACGAGAGGTAAACTTTGACAATTAATCATTTCTATTGTACGGAATTGTACTCAATAATATGTAGCTTTGAGCTTAACGTTTTTATATATCTCTCATTAACTTGTCCAACTTTGACTTGCTTTATTATCATTATTTTACCACTATCAGTATTAAAAAAAATGTTGGTTCTATTTATTTGTTCAAAATGACAGTGTGAACTTTACATACTTTGCATCTAAAGCAGACCAATATTTCTTACTTATTTTTTGCACCAAACTCTGTTTTAAGGAAAAATCTTCGAGGGTAAGGTCAAACCTCCTCTTGCCGGAGTAACTGTAACAGTGGAAAGTACAGATGCGGAACGTTTAGTTATAGAAACAGACTCTGGAGGCGTTTTCAAGTTTCCACCTTTAGACAGCAAAAAGGAGTATAAAATTTACGCTAACAAAGATTCCTACGTTCTGACTGGGCCTGATAGTAACGGAAACTTTTTAGCACACAAGCTGGCTGAAGTTATTGTGGAAGTTTTGGATGAAATCGATAACAGTCCGCTTTCAGTAAGAATACTTTTGTTATCCATATTTCGCCAGTGTTGCATCTGTGACGCGATACATATCAGAAACACATAAGTAATTGTATTTTTAATTTTTAGGGAGCTTTGTTGTCTCTATCAGGTGGTGAGGGTTATCGTAAGAATCTACAAAGCGGAGAGAATGGCAAAATAACTTTCAACTCTCTCAGTCCAAGTGAATATTTTTTGCGTCCAATGATGAAGGAGTATCAGTTTGAACCGAACTCAAAAATCATCTCTGTGCAGGAAGGAGAAACTGTTAATGTTCGCTTGGTGTACGTAGATTTATTTGTGCCTTATATAAATAATGTCGATACAGAACTCTTCAAAATATTTCATGTTTTAGAGCTAAAAGAGTTGCCTACAGTGCTTACGGTCAGGTGCTATCGTTGAATGGAGATTCAGAGGATAATATGGTTATAATTGCCTCAGGAATCGGCAACTGCAGTCATTACTCTGAAGAAACCACTTGCGAAAATACCGGCAAGTTCAGAATCAGGGGACTACAACCGTATTGTTCATATAAGGTTATTGTTAAAGGAAGTCTAAGTGGAGACAATGTTGTTGAAAGAACGGCTCCAGATTTTATACGAATTGATGTAAGTTGATGACTCTCAAAGCATTTGATTTCATTTATTTGATGATACCATTAGTACATTTGTAACAGGTCACTGTTACATGAAAATTACTTAAAGTGTTTGAAAATACATAAAAATATTCTATTGAATAAATATCAAAAGTTATAACTTGATAAAAACGGTGTTGCCCAGGCTTTGAGGGCGAAAAGTCAGTAATAAACTATATCAGAATCAGAATATGCTTTATTGTCGAAAGAATACAATTCTTGTTGACAAAGTCAGTTGTCGTACATGGATGTATGTTAAAATATAGTTAAAATAACACTTACAGATGTATAAACACAAATAAACACAGGATCTGATCAAATTAGAGTAAATAATGGTACATATATATATATATATATATATATACACCCATCCATACATACATATTCACATAATTGAGCCTCAGCAATGACAGATATGGATAATGAGTTCATTCAGATAATTTGGCTATAAAAAATTCATCCAAGCTATAGAAGGGATGATCAAAGAGTAAAACCTTCACACTACCTCTGAATCTATTATAATTCTTGATTTTCCTAATTCTTGCTGGAAGGTAGTTGTATATTTTCAAGCCGTTATATATAATAGAGTCCTTTACGAGGCGACTTTTGGGTATAGGCAACATAAGAGTCGAGTTTTGGGAAGATCGAGTATTGTAAGACGATGACGCTCCTTTACATAGATCACGGTGCTTATGAATCAAACAAGATGTTTCCAATATAAAAATAGAGATCACTGTGAGGATTTGGTGATTTTTAAAGTATTCTTTGCACGATTTGCGACTCTTAATCTTGAAGAGGGCTCTAATGGCTCTTTTTTGTACAACTTGGATCATCTGTAATAAATTTTTATTGCATGCACCCCAAAAAGCAATTGCATAACCTATATGCGATTCAATTAATGCATGGTAGGCAGATTTTGCTGCTGCAAATCCTACCTCATTATTGATGACTCTAATGGCATAGCACCCAGAGGATAGTTTTTTAGACAGTTTTTTAACATGTTCATCGAATCTCAGGTTACTGTCAATGAAGACCCAAGAATTTTGTGCAGGGGGAATTGTCAATATTAGTTGAATCAAGAATTATTGTGTCCAATTCACATTTGAAGGTTAACAAGTTAGTTTTGGAGATGTTGAGTACAAGGAGATTATTGTCAAACCACGTTCTTATTGTTTCGTTCGGTACTTGTGTGAAAACTACAATATTCAATTCAAAACATCAAAACTCATTCTATTGTACTATGAATACCTTATTGATATCTAAACCACAGACACAAGACGTGATATTTTAAAAATCATGTGTGAAAGCTTGGGCAAAATAGGTGTCTTTTTCATTATTTTTTAACCTTCTGAAGGATCTCATAAAAATAGTGTTTTCATTTCAACAATTTCACTTTTGTGTTATATTCATGTATCTGAGTGCAGTAACCTTCATTTCCTTCTTATACTTCTTTTTCAGGCCATAAAAGAAGATGTAAGAGACCTCAAACTCATAGTTTTTCGACCTGCTGGAAAAATGGATGTACTAGTCAGAGTTTATGCTGAAAATGTTGACCATTACAGGTCCCTCAAACTAAAATTGACTAGAGAATATGGAACACCGACAGTGATCCACACTGCTAAAATCGATACATCATCGTTGAAACTATCAAAGACAATCAACCCAGGAATTTTGGTTCATCTTCCAACTATCCCCCAAGATAACAAACTATATACTTTGCAGCTGGACTCAAGTTTGGTGCAAAGCACTAAGTGGAACTCCGAAGTGCATCAGTTCAGTGCGAATACTTCATTTAAATTTATTGACTTTGATTTCAATGTCAGAGACAGTGTTTCAGAACAGCCAATTCGACAAACTTCGATTTTCAGTTTGATATTCATTTTGACTATTTTATTCACAGCCTACAATATTGAAATTGTGGCGAATTGGTTGAATGATAAGTTCAACTTCAATGTCAATGCCTTGATCAATTTAGTCCCTATTCAAAATCCAAAACCAGTGAGTGAATATTATGATGATGCTCAAATTGATCAGATTGTTCAAAATATAAACAATGCCAAGAAAAAGCCCAAGCCCAAAAAGATTTAGACACAGTGTGTAATTTATATACCGCGAAAAGTATCTGCAAATATTTTTTTAAACAATGGGCGATTATTCATCCTTTCAAATTGAGATAATATAATAATTCTTTTGTTGGCAGTTTTGTTATTTAAACTTCTCAAATACACTTCAGTCTTCGTTCACTTCAGTTTTCATTCATATAAACCCATTAGAATATTTTTTTGTATTGCTCAGACTGATTTGTTTTTAGACTGAAAACCAGAACCCAAACGCAATGCATTTATAAGTCAACACCAGACAGCGCTGTTTCGACCCGTAATAGGTTTCATCAGTGGTGCTAGGCTGAACCACAAATGCATTGCTGAACTCAACTGTCCTTAAAGGACAAGCCTAAGTCAATAAGGATGACGGCTTCTCCCCTTACGAAAACGCCATCTGTAGGATCGACAGAAAACTCATTCCTTGAATACCAATGGTAAACGAGACTCCTCAAGGCGGCCAGTTGCAAAGCTAAGCTTCAACATCGAGCGCCAACGAGATTCGTCCTCTGTCATTCAACCCAGCTTTCACCGCTAGGCAACTAGCTGAAAACTAGAGCCCAAACACAATTCATTTATTATTCTGCATCAGATAGTGGTGTTTGTTAGATCACAAGTACATTGTGCTCTTGCAGTGGAAGACAAAGGATGAATCTTGTCGATGTCGAAGCTTGGCTTTGCAGCTGATTGCCTTGGGGGGCTTCGTTTATCTTTAATATTCAAGGATTGAGTTCTCTGTTGATTCCATAGATAGCATCTTCATATGGGCAGATCTCATCGCCCTTACCTGTTATTGGATTGTTAAATCCCAGTGCTGTCATTCAGTCAATCATACAATGAAAAATATACTTTATTGTGATGCACTGTTTGGAACATTCAGTGAATATTACTGGAGTTTTATCTCAACACCAAACCGTTATTTTAACACCTCGACACGTGTTTCAATCACCAAGTGATCATTTTCAAGAGGAAGATTAAACTGAAGATGATCACTTGGTGATTAAAATACGTGTCAAGGTGTTAAAAATAACGTTTTGGTGTTGGAATTAAACTCCAGTAATATTTTTTACAAAATCTTATTGACAAAGTCATGTATTAATATATTGAAACTATAAAATACATTTCTTCACAAAGATGTGTTGAATTTTAAAGAAATTTATTAAAAAAAATACAACTTATAAATTTGTCTTGAGTTTTGCCTTCCTTGAAATTTCAGCTTCGGATTTTTGGTTCAAGAACTGTAAAGTATGATTATACTGAGGTATTATTCTGCCTACTCCCCAGTTCTTGTCCCTGATCTTCGTGAGGGTCTTAATCTGCCTAATCTCAAGTGAAGATTGGGAGTCATCTAGTTCTTGTTTCATATCTATGTCCTTGGGCAGATGGGGGGCTGACCGGTAGTAGCAGCAAAGTTGGTACTGTACCCATGTTCAGTTCAAAAAGAAACCAGTTAATTTTGAACACATTTTTTTGGGTTTTCGTAGACTTGGAATTAATGAAATTATACAGTCAAAAGTATCGCTTGTAGAGAGATTTCAGTAATTTTGGAAATGTGTCTTTGGCAAAAAACTCATTTGTCAGTTCAACCTGCAATTGTAAAGACTGGCAGATTCTCTAATACTTTTTGAGGACAAATGATAGGTGAAATGAGGTTTTTTTTATTTCTTCAATTGTAAATATTATCCATTAGATTAGTGTTGTATAAAACAAAAATCTGCGAGTACCTTTAAGATAAGTGTGTTTGGTAAATCTCTCTACAATAAAATTCATTAAGCAATGTTAAGTCCAAATTTGTATTAGTAGGTTTGGTGTTATTTTTTCCGCGAAATTCATTTACCACACAGCATTGCCTTAAAAAGTTGAGCGAAGCAAATAATGGAGATTACTCATTGACAAACTCACGTTACCGTGCTTTAGTCATATTTAAGACAGTGACAATAAAAAATATGGACTGATCATTAAAAAGAAAACATCACTCCAGCACCTAAAAAAAGACAAAGAGATTCACTTCCTGACATCTACGTCATTCATACAAATAACGTCACGATGTTTTACGTGTTGCATATTTCCATATGGAAATTTTGGGATTGGATTTGTCACATGTTGCTGTGACGCAGTTGATAAGACTGTGTGATCCGCAGGTGGAACATACATTGAAGTGAAGTCATGCCCAGTCCATCTTATCATGTCTATGATTTCAGGGTGCATCAAGTTATCAAAAAAAGTCCCCAACAATAACGGCAACTTACTGTACTAATATCGTATGAAGGGTTGCCTACCCTTAGGTTTTGCCACTAAACATATAGTCACCTCGACTTCTGGTCGGGTAAAAAAGTTATGAAAATAACTTTGCAAAAAGCATAGATCGAGTTAAACCTTAACTAATACATTCAGAACTTGTAGGTTTCGACTTCGAATATACATTAAATGCTCCAAATATGACTTGTTTCCTAATTATTATTATAATTTTTCATTTGTACAGTAACTAAAATTATTGATATTATTTTCTGCATTGGCATTTCTAATGTAGATTTGTTTGTGAGGAAAATGAACAAAATTACTTTCACATTACATGAATTCCTTGACGTTCGAACATTAATGGCAATGAAAAAGCAAATATCTCAGTGTCTATTAGGAACCCCCAAGAAATTCTGGTATATAGATAAGGAAGAAATAACAAATAAAACGTAAATTATATAACTTCGAGGAAAGCACCAAATCTGACTTTATATCAAAAATTCTATGGATTTAGAAGGATAATATTTACGAAAACATATCCCCAATGTGAAGTTTTTGAACAGTAAAATGCTAGGGTGTCACAAAATGCAGCTACCTGAAAAAACTTTCCAATTTTTCTTCTGGGAACGTTTCCACCGGTCAGATATGAAAATAGAAAAGGATAAGCTTTGTATATAGACTATATTATATAGTCTGTGGCATAAGTACAAACATCGTTCTGTGGTGTTGCTATTGGAAATCGATTTATTATTTTGACAGTTTTGACTTACCGTCAACCGAGATGTGAAAACACTCGCTTTTTATATTTGTATTTGAACAAACAAAATTTTACATAAATAAATACACTTCAAGGTAATGTTACTCACGAAGGTAATAAAGTGCTCTTCAAGATTATTAATACATTTCAGAAAATGGAAACTATAAACGGAGACTCCCAAGAATCACAAGAAAATGTTCGAGTATTTATTAGAATTCGTCCACTTAGTAAAAAAGAAATTGCTGATGGAAACGAAAATATAGTAGTTTGTGATCACAAAGAAAATTTAATTGCCTTGAAGAAGAATGGCGAGCATACTAAACCTTTCAAATTTGACCACATATTTTCAACAAACACTGCTCAAGTGAGTCTATATTTCTTTAAATATTCCTCCCCTGAATAATAATTCTTTTCAGCTGGAAATGTATCGCATGGTTGCTTTTCCTATAGTTGAGAAAGCTCTAGAGGGTTATAATGGTACGATATTTGCTTACGGCCAAACAGGAACTGGTAAAACGTATACTATGGCTGGTAATCACTTGGTGCCTGAATTGAAAGGTATCATACCAAACACTTTCTCCCATATATTCAGCCAAATATCACGAGCCAGTGGAGAGAAGTCCTTTGTGGTTAAAGTTACTTACTTAGAAATTTACAATGAAGATGTTCGAGATTTACTTTCTACAGACCCTAACAAAAAATTGGCAATAAGAGAGAGAAAAGATATTGGAGTTTATGTAAAAGATCTCATGGGGTTTACGGTGGATTCTATAGAATCTATTACAGATTTACTAAATCGGGGTAACAAAAATAGAGTAACAAAGTCAACGTTGATGAATGACATCAGTAGTAGATCTCATGCCATTTTCACTGTAACAATTGAGTCCAAAAACAGAATAGACAATAAAACTACTGTTGGGAAACTAAACCTAGTTGATTTAGCTGTGAGTATTAATACCAGTTGAAACATGAAGGAAATGGTTTTCCTTGTAATTTTCTTCAGTTTAACTAGTCATTTCATGTTAATAATTGCAGAACAAATGTATTTAATAAAACCAAATAAAATTTTGCGAAAATACTGCAATGATGTATGCCTGAACTGAAATATATATTTTTTTCTTAAATTATAAACTTTTATGAGTTGAACATAGTGAGTTTTGCTCGCACTTATCATTCTGCAACTTCAATATTTATCATTTTTAAATATTTTCTACACATAACTATTCAACTCAATGTATAATGTGTACATTCCGTGTCTTGCATATATTATATGTTGGAAATATCTATCAATTTAACTAGCAGATATCGATGATTAATTATTATTCAGGGTTCAGAAAGAGCGAGCCGAACTCAAGCAACTGGAGAACGCCTAAGAGAAGCCAGTAACATCAATTTGTCATTGTCTGTTCTTGGCAATGTTATTTCAGCATTGGTTGACGGTAAGAGTACTCACATACCATATCGAAATTCGAAGTTAACGAGACTTCTGCAAGATTCACTGGGTGGCAATTCAAAAACGGCAATGGTATAAACGGTTTCATTCTTGTAGCTTTTTATTTCATGAAACAAAACTTTTTCCAGATTGCAATGGTGAGTCCTGCAGATATAGACTATGAGGAGAGCATGTGTACTCTTCGATATGCTGCCAGAGTTAAGTACATTAAGAACTGTGTTAAGATTAATGTTGAAGAAAAGGGTCTCATAGAAGGATTTGAGCTTGAAATAGCTGAACTGCAGCAAAAGTTGTCAGAATTGTCTGTAATTGAACAACGAAGAGAACAGGTACATCGTATTTTATTATGTGTAAAGTGCTCATTCTGATTTAAAATTTTTTTTTTAGAAAAAGAAGGAAAGAGCTGTTAGTGCTGAAGAAAAAGAGAGGCTGAAACAAACTACACTGGAACTGGAGAAAACAGAGTAAGTTTCAGTTGTAGAGAGGAACGGATTCAACAAAGTAACATATTCACAATTGTTTGTTTTCAGGCGAATAAAAGCAGAGCTAGAGGAAAAAATGGCTCTTATTCAAAAGAAAATTCTAGTTGGTGGTGAAAATCTGCTTGAAAAGGCTCAACAGCAAGTATTTTGCTTGGAATCATCTGCAGCCGAATTGGAAAGCCTGGATAAGAGCCACCAACAGCTCGAGGAACAACTCAATAAAAAGGCAGCGGAAAAAATCGATGTGGAGGAACAGTACTCCTCCCTTCAAGAGGAAGACGCAGGGCTCACAAAAAAATTGAAGAAAATTCAAGCCTTCATCAAAGAGGCTAAGGAAGAGCACGCAGATAAAGAACGAGAATACCAGAGAGATTTAGAGGCTCTTTTTGATAACAATAGGTTGCTTATACGTGAAACTCAGCTGTCCAATTTACTTCTGGATAACTACATTCCCCAAGAATATTTGGTGAGTAAGCGTCAAGTATAACGTTTCAACAAATTCAATCTCTTTGTTTTAATAAATTCTGTTTTTTAACAAAGAGATGTTTTATATTAATCATTCGAAGTTTATTTGTAGTCTTCATAATTCCAGCCTCTATACTTTAATTTTTATACAAAAAAAAAATAATGGAAATTCTTTTAGAAAAAGATTCAGTCTCATATGGTGTGGAACAATGAAACTCAAGAATTTCAAATGAGGGGTGTTGCATACACTGGAAATAACATGAGGAAGCATCAAACAGCCACTGCTGAGGAATTCGCACCTATTACTTTTGAAATGAAGCAAAGTTATCACAAATATCCTGAGAAGAAAAGGGAAAAATTGAAACGTTCCATTCTAAAATCCCTATCAGCCGTACCAAAGACACGTTAGTATTTTGATTATTTTTTTCACTTGCCTTAATTATTATACAGTGCCTTCATAAAAAATGTAGCTGTAGCTGATTTATTTGGATATGATTTGACTAGTATTTTATGAAAGCTCTGTGTAATGTTGACGTTTTTTGCTAGTATTATTTTTCGTTACTTGGCTGTGTTTTTAATATTTATAATAAATTGTTTGATCTGTTCTGAACAGATAGCTACTTATGTAAAGGGATTTCTAAGACTGTTCAAAAGATAGAACAAAGTATTGCATCTGATAATAGTTATTTTAACCAAAGAATCGTGGCTCCTAGCGAAGTAAAATATCAGTTTTTGCTTGTTAATGGAAGGTAATGGTGCTCGCAAAAATAGCTTCCTACTTTGAAAAATTGCAATCTGCTTAATCTCGATTTATAAAATGTATTGCTTTTTGGTAAATTTGACTTCGGCGAAAATGTCATGAAAACCTTATGCAAAGAAAACGATACTTCAGTTTGTAACAACTCAGTAACCCTAGTAATGTTTGTTCTGTAAAGAACATTTATAATTTTTAAAGAGTTTTGAAAAAATACTGATTTCACAATTTTATCTGGAGTAAATTCTGAAAAGGCAATAGAAAGGTTCTTTTTGAAGGAATCTTTTTGTTGTTAGAAAATTTTTCATTCTGAAATTACTTTAGAAACTTTTCAAAATGACAGGGCGCAGGGTCTTTTTGGTTTATCTATGAACCATGGATATTTAGCCAATTTTAGTGAACTGTGATATTCATCAATATTTGTAAAAACATCGAGTTAACCATTATGTTGATCGTAAGGGCCAGTATGATGACTTTGGATTTCGATAAAACAGGTAGAATCCCTAAGAATGTCGGTGTTTAAAAATAAGTTACATAATGTACTGACAAATAAGCCTGGCAGCAACGAGTTACCGCATCTTGAATACAGTGATTTTTCAGACCAGTGATGCTTTTAGTTAGTATTATTTTTAATTATTTTCTTAATGTGTATCAACTACTTTTGCATATTGTGATGTTGATAAATTTTTGCTCTTGAACACTGTACGTGATCTCCTAAGTTGGACTTCTCCATTGATGGTCCAAAAAGAATATTTATTTTAGTTTTGATACCATTTCCAGTTATAGTCTGATTCAATTTAAATAGGCACCATTGGTAATATTGTTGTTATTGTAAATACTGATTAAGATGTAAAAAATGAAAGAGGAAAAAATGATTGAGGAATGTCCTTTTTAATGAAAAACTTTGTATGCTATAGTTTTTCTGGTAGAGCTTAACACATTTACAATAATGTGTGACAGGTTATGTTGAATAAAAAATAGTGGTAAAAATGAATTCCATTCATGAAACCACCAGCTATTGTTAGGTAAGGTTAGGTCCAAAGTGAGTTGGTCTATTTGACACTCAACCGCAACCCGCAAGGGTTTATTGTGGCTCACACTTATTCACACTCGACCAAATAAACCCAGCTTCTTAACGAAGACGATTAGTATATATAGTGAGTGGTCTTTCAGTTTAGATGTAAGAGTACGGCTCTGCCGAACTCTAAAAACCTGATTCGGTCCCCAGCGGGGCATGCATAAAGTATGTGCTCTGCTGTTTCATCATTTTTTCCAGACAGAGGCGACACACTGTCTTCCGACAGTCCAAGTCTCTGCATATAATGATTCAAATGACGGTGACCTGTAATCGTGAAAGATACTTTGTTCCCAACTCTGGGCTTATTGTTGATCACTGTGTATCATTACACCCGTGCTGATAATCGCTTGTTACAAGGTAAGACCTTGTTAATCCTCAGCTCAGATGTTTCGCCTTTTTTAGGTTTGTTCATAAGGGGATAGAAAAACTCATACTTTCTTTTATTTCCATTTCACAAAAAGTTTCTATTCGTTTTGATAATTCGAATATAATTTTCTGAAAGGGCTTTTTTTAGATAAAATGCTTGACAGTTGTTGTTTTTTCATGAAATGAGTGTGAAAAATACCACTAGTTCGACGGTATAAAGGATTTGTATCCCAAATAATGCCAAAGGTAATAATAATAATATGATATATTACAGCGTATGCTTTACATTGTTCTGCAACATAAAATGCAACGTCAGACAGATTGTATGAACATTAAAAAGAAAAACCATTAGTATGCAGTTGGAATAAAAACATCTTAATGTAAAACGAAGTTAATAGTAATCCAGATATTCCTGAATTGAACATGGTTCCAAGGTATCACTTAATTTGGATCAGACGTGGATATATCACAGNAGGTGCTTGATACATAAGGTATATTAATTTAAATAATAAATAAAATTTTTCAATTTCACTGAAATTGAATTCGGGAAAAGTGATCATCAATATACTGCACTAAAACAGTTACAATAATGAACTGACAGATAACAAAAAGTCATGTGAAATTTGAATGTCACTTTGATGTGATCAATCTGAGTTCTGAATTCGAATTCAGCTTAGCTTTGACTAAGTTAAGATGACTTGTGATTCACTCTTACTGAGTACATTGACAACATTCCCCCAAAAATAAACCACTTTCCAAAAAAGTAATCGTACTTTTATTACTTTGTTCTGAATAAAAAGTTGTTCCACGAGCGATGAAGTTTCATAATAACAAATTTTGACAAAATTGATCAGGTCAACTATATATTCGCGTACGGTGTGGGAGTTTATGGCAAGAATATAAACAACATTAAGGAATCACATATGGTTCTTGAATAGCATATAAAATTACAAACACATTCGTCAGAGATTCTAAAAAACACCATATGGTATCAGAAAAAGTTAATATTCCAGGAATCTTTGCCATATTTCTATTTGTGTCTTGTTCTGCGACATTGGGGAAAAACATCTGTATTGTTGTGTATGTATTCATTATATTTTAAAAATGGTAGTCCAAACATACTGGGTGTTCATAAATATTCCAGTCGAGTTATTGAGTGATTAACAACACTGAAGGTGTAGTAGTGAAATGTTTCAATAGACAGAGATACGGACTTGATGAATGCAAAATAATTATTCTATACTATCATTGGCAGTGTTTTAGAAGCCACAAACATAATTCAGAAAATTTTACAAATATAACAATTTTTTTGGGAAATATAATTTTGGGAATATAATTTGGTCCAAAAAAAATATGAAAAAGGTTTTGAAAAATCATTATTAAAAGCCGTGATCATTTGATCCAGACATCTTCATCTTAGAAAATGATTGTTCTTGTTCAGGACTACCCAAATGAAACTATTCAGAGGAATCGGGCAAATTACGGATATGCAGTTGGTTATTACCTGGTCCACTAGATGGAGTGACATTTTGTGATGTTCGCTCCAACTCTGGAAGAGAAATGAAATACTCTGAAAAGAATTCCGATTCTCAATTGTGGAATATCATTGACTTTATCGAAGACCAAAAATCTTGAAAGGTTTCCAAGTCTACTAGAGACACGATTCAAAGAGTCTCTCATCGAAATTTCACAATCCATCTCTCAAACCAGCGTTGACAATTCATGTGGTGAATTCGTGGTAGCTACACTGCTCAGGTCCATGGTGACCGTAGGCATCCCAGGACTAATGGAGCCGCTAGCCTCCCGCAAATGAGACATTTTGGTAAGATTCAAGCTTTCCCCAGTAGGTGGAGTTGTTGTCGACGGTCTCACAATGTAAGGGCCGTTGTGTACCGAAGCAATAGGGTGTCCAAAACTGTGGTTACTGTGGTTGAACGTACTGACGTGAGAGTGGTTGAGTTGGGTCGGAGGAGGTGACGTCAGGCTGTGGAATGAGGTGTGGTGTTGACTCGATTCGTGCTGTTGCAGTGCTAGCTCCTTCACTGCGTTAGTTTTCTCTCGCTGCCAGATGAAGACGTTGTGGACCATCGCACATCCACAGAAGAGAATGCCCAGACCGATGAAGACACTTGTAACGATCGCTGGGGTGGAGTGAAACTGGATGAACGTGTAAAGGATTATACCTGAAAATCATTGTTCACTATAGTTTTCATTCAATTCATGAAAGATGTAATTGTGGAGATCAATCAGTATATATCAGACCATATAATATTTATTCTGTCTTTCACAAAACGGTGAAAAGTGACAAAAATAATCCAGGTTTAGGGTCCACGATACAAGCTGTAGGTTGATAAACTGCAACTTTTTTAGATTCATGAATATTACACAAGAAAAAAATCATTTAAGGCTGCCTAAGCGTAGAACAACAATGATCAAATATACCTTCCTGAATGATTTGGTCTGAGAGTGTCGTGATGAACCATGATGATGCGTACTTTCCGGATACATGACAAAAAAGGACAAGTCAAATGTCTCCCAATTGACAAAAACCAAGAAAAATGTCAATTGAGGTAACTTATGTAATTTGTTGAAAAATCCTCGATAGCGGGGAATTTTTCGGGCAAGTTCTTTAATTTGACTTGAAAATTGATATTTTATTTATCAAGGTTTCCCGTTTATTGAATATTTTGGGTATATTGTATATAATAATAATATAATATATTGTATATAATAATAAAGTATATATTATATTATACTTTATTATTATATACAAGAACAACTATATAAAACATATAGATGTCATCAGTGACAGTTAAACTAAAAGCTATTATTTAAAAATATGATTATAAATGAGGTAGCATCTCTAACAGCAATATTTCAACTGCATTTTCGAAAGACTTCATCACTTCTTGATAGTTTTATCACATTCGACACTTTATTACAATGTGGAGGAGGTTTATTTTAGAGTAAATTTGTGATAGATGTTACAATATGTCCATTGTGATCATGCTCATATGCGTTAAGAGTGATAAAATAATGAATTTTACTTGGCGAACATGGCACCTCTGTTGATATAAATTAGGGGAGGGGGAGCAGTTAGAATCATGTAATTTTTGAAGATAGTTCGACAACTATTCTGAAAGTTAACAAGACATTAATTGCAAAATTTTCTTCTGAGCTATAACTACTTTTAAAAAGTCTCCTTTTCTCGAATTTACTTCTCTGCAAAGACTGACTATTTGAAACAATATTTACAAGACTTTTTTTACAATAAACGACTCGTCATGATTATTCTCCGCTTCTCCAGCTTACAAATTATTCATATTCCCCAAATTGATATTTTTGATCCATTAATTCAATATTTATTCTCGGCTCTCCTAGAGAAATATGATACACGGAATTCCATAACCCTATTTTTCAATGACCCACTGAACAGCTCGAAAGAGGTGACTGAAATAAAGGGTCCCACTGTCCTGGTTATTTCACATTGCTCGAATTACGTATAATAATTTCCATGCACAACATTTTGACAAAGAACATTCGTCACAACCCTCGTATAACTCACCTGTTAGAAACACCGGTATTGAAATGAAGAATCCTCCAACGGCGCAAACTCGGCTTACTGAAGACTTTTGTAGGTACTTATTAGTCCTGGAAAAATTGCATCATTAAAATTCAAGATCTCAATGATTACGAAGGAATCTTTACAATAGTGGGGGCGATAGGAGTAATATGAAAAACACGCCGAATATGAGAGTACCGTTCTTTGTGTTTGTTAGATCATCAAATTGTTTCTAAATCCACAAATGGTGGATACACAAGTATTAAAAAATGGGCCTACAACATACAGGGTTATTCAAAGTCGGGTCTATGCTTGAGGTCTATGAGAAATGTGGCAAATTTCCCTTTTTTAGAGTACTTTTGGATGATATTAGCATAGATTTTTTTTAGACAATGGAAGCCGAACCTCTATATGGAAAATAACGTTCAACTTGAATCCACTTAGAAATTATGATACGGATCTGTATTTTTAGTAGCAATTTTGTGACAGTGTCTATACTGGATATCTTGGAAAACAATTTTAAACAATATACACGCCACACAAAGACGCAAACGACTGATTACAACCCTGTGCTGGTACCAAACTCGTACCAAGAAGGCGAATTCACCAATGAACGCTGCCCTTTCCATCTGACACTGGGCGAACACGTGAACATCACGCTTCGCTTTTGTTTTGTTTTACTCTATCTTGGATTTGGATAGACTTTAGGTATATTAAACTGTGCTCCGATCGTCCCTATTTTGACTTTATTTTCAACACTTTCATGCATTGGTGAAGGCCATAATGAATAAAGCAGCACAAGTTAAGACTCGTCTCTGATGAGTATCAAGGAAAATGATGCAGATTAAAATATGGAATCTCTAGTAAAATATGCGAAGTAACTGTACAGAATATTCACAAGGTCGATCAATTAATAGATAACAATAATGTTTTAGTTTCAATTCAATATTTCTGAGAATTTAGTGCCTATTATTATGGAATTGTACTATGGTTTAATAAATACCGCATCAAATAAGGACCATTCACTATCATTATTGTTCATTACATTTGTTAGAGTCATATTCTCATCTCTCTGATGGTTACGTTACTCGTATTCTACGATTTCTATTCGTTTTTATCGAAATTTTTGATAGTTTCCATAGAAAATGTTTTTGAAAAATTTAAAATAAATCATTCCATATATCTAAAGCAAATGTGAATAAAAGATGATATGTATTATTATACGTTCTGTGATTCCATGATTTGTCCGATCAAGCAAGTTCAAATATTTCAACGTTAGTGACATTTGCGACAGTCATTTCATTCGCAAATACTTTGCGAAATTCGTACAAGCCTAGCTGCGCTTTTATTTCAAGTACTTGCGATTTTACGACGTTCTGGAGTATTAACCGCTCATAAAAATTCGTTAACAAGGATATTATAAAGGATTCAGTACTACAATGGTTCTGCGGGGTAATTAATTTCTAATTACTAGCTTCCTGATACGCGAAATGGGACATAATTGTGGTTGTTCGCCCAACCGGATAGAGCTTGATTATGGGAGAATGAGAAGCCTCTCGCTTCGACCTATTCAACTCATGGGATAAATCTGAAGAATTATTGAAAGCTCAAACGGAAGCGTTCATAGCTACATAAATGATTCATTATTCATTTCATTGCTCTGCTACAAATTACGGATCTATTATCTCCCTTTTAAGTGGATACACTGCGTTCCCTGTCTTCGTGAGCTTTTTGAAGTGTGATATGAGTGTAGTTCGAACAACATTTTGACCAAGAATTGATACAAATATGAAAAACTAGCGACCCTCCCGGCTTTGCATGGGTAGCAGAGAATATACTCCTACATTTTTTTCTGTCGTAGTGCCACATACTCCGTGACCAGTGACCTAAACATCGAAATTGATAGAGTAAGGTATTCCTGAAAGATATACATATGCCACTGCATATTGATTCCAGTGGCGCATTTGCTTTTTCAGCTGCAGGAAACCCCGGAAAAACCTGCAGCACCACATCATCTGAAGATCTTGATCTGCCAATGTCCTCTCTCTCATAAAACAAAATGTAGGGTGTCTCCAGAGGCTCCAATAGATTCAACACATCGCCAGAACACTTCGTGACACGACTATCGTCAAACCTAAGGCGTAATAATAACCAAATTCAACGCCAGAACCACAGTGAACAGTGACTGCATGAATATTATAACAGTGGTCTGCTAGATTGAAATGTTCATCTATTTCGAACCTTCCAAAGAGTTTCTTGCTTCCGACAGAGGTTGAGTTTTGTTTGAAGATCATATCATTAGACTTACTGGTGGCTCAGCTATACTTGTAAACATAAGACGAGATGGACTGTACGGAATCATTCAATCCAGAGCGGTCAGGAGTATTGATTTTGCTATTGTTTTGCTCACGAAGAGTATTCAACAAGAACCCCAAGAATTCGGAACGATCCTCTTGTTGTCCTAACGAGTATCTATTTGACTTCAAAGACTCCAGGAAATCATTTGGTTGGAAAGATGATACATTCTTACGAAACTGCAATTGCATGAACAATTGTTTGAGTTTGGTGAATA